CGCAAATCCCTTGTTTGCCAAAAATTACCAGATACTGTAAAAAGTAATATCTAGTCCCTCCTCTCAGGGAGTTCAGGGTCAACACATGAGTTAGATAAACATTTACCTTTAAAAACGACCAATCCAGAAATTTTAAAAAACAAAAAATGTTTTGTTCTGTCTTACTCCAAAGTTATTGTTTTTATCTGAATTAGTTGCAATGTTTACAAAGTTTGAGTTCACACAAACACACACACACACACATACCCAGCTACTCTTCTCGAGAGACCGGATGATCTGGCCACCCTAGGGCCACATTCCTGCCACGGGCAGCAACAGGAGAGATGCAGTAGCTCCTTTCAGATGGAAGATGTTCTCTCTACTTCTCCAGAACCCTCAGCAGTATCATGGTTTCCCAGAATTAATTAACAAAAAAAAAATTTTATTTGGGGGAAAAAAAAAGATTTTTTTCAAAGAAAAAATACTTCAGTGTATATCTGTGTATGAGATATACCATTAGCTAGTCTAAAGAATCAAAGGGGAGAAAAGGAAAAAAATGTAAGCACACAAAATTAGGGAACAGGACAGGGATAACAGTCTCAGATACAGAGGAAAAAGCTGGACAAAACAGATGATTTTCTATGAATGTATAAATCACCAACACTAAACCCAGAAAGAGATAGCAAATCTAAAAAAAAGCACCTGGCTTAGGTAGTTTTACAGAGGAATTCCACCAAATTTAAAGAAACAGATCATTTCAAGAGTATTTAAACAGGCTAAAGCAGAGAAAGCTTTTAATAAAGCTAAGGAAAGCATTAAAACAACTTGATAAAGATTACATTAAAAATACAAAATTACAGGGGCGCCTGGGTGGCTCAGTCACTTAAGCGGCTGCCTTCAGCTCAGGTCATGATCCTCGGGTCCTGGGATCGAGCCCCACATCCAGCTCCCTGCTCAGTGGAGAGCCTCCTTCTCCCTCTCCCTCTGCCTGCCACTCTGCCTACTTGTGCTATCTCTTGTCAAATAAATAAATAAAATCTTTAAAAAAAAACAAAATTACAAACCAGTTTCACAAATAACAATGTAAAATGACTAAGTAAAATATTAATAGAATCTGGCTACACATTAACAGAGTTTTCACTGATGATTCAATAATAAGATGATGATTCAATAACATAAAATCTGTTACTATAATTCATATATTTTTAAATATTTTATTTCTTTATTTGACATAGAGAGACACAGTGAGAGAGGGAACACAAGCAGGAGGAGTGGGAGAGGGAGAAGCAGGCTTCCCGCGGAGCAGGGAGCCAGATGTGGGGCTCAATCCCAGGACCCCGGGATCATGACCTGAGCCAAAGGCAGATGCTTAACGACTGAGCCACCCAGGCGCTCCTGTTACTATAATTCATGCTAACAGGTCAAGGAAGAACATCTATATGATAATTTCACAGATGCTAAAATGGCATTTCATAAGATTCAACAACCATTTTTGATCAAAAAAACAAATAGTAACAACACACCCCTTAGTAAAATAACCAGTGTGGCAAAAACACTAAAAGCATTCTCAGTAAAGTAAGGAACAAAATAAGGTACCCACTATCATTCCCAGTATTTAATCTTGTTCTGAAAATACAATGCAACTAAAAAAGAGAAACAAAAGACAAAAAGTAGAAAACATGGAATGATACTTATTATTTGTAACTGATATGATATACCTGAAAATCCTAGAGAACCAACTGCAAAAACTACTAAAAACAATATGACTACATAAGTTGCTGCTTACAAAATTAATAAGTACAGGGGCACCTGGGTGGCTCAGTCAGCTAAGTGTCTGCCTTCAGCTCAGGTCATGATTCCAGGGTCCTGGGATGGAGCCTAAGGTTGGGCTCCTTGCTCAGCGGGGAGCCTGCTTCTCCCTCTGCCTGCTGCTCTCCCTGCTTGTGCTCTCTCTCTCTAATAAAGAAATAAAATCTTAAAAAAAAAATAAGTACAATGATAAAAATATGTAATATAAGAAGGGGTCCTACGCAACAACAAAAAAGATCAAATAACTAGGAATAAACTTAAGAAATGTACAAGATTTTTAAACAAACCACATTTTAAAAGACATTTCTGAGACAACTGGAGAAATGTGTATGTAGATTGGATATTAAATTAGTAATAGGCTGGGCGCCTGGGTGGCTCAGTTGGTTAAGCGACTGCCTTCGGCTCAGGTCATGATCCTGGAGTCCCTGGATCGAGTCCCGCATCGGGCTCCCTGCTCTGCGGGGAGTCTGCTTCTCCCTCTGACCCTCCCCCCTCTCATGTGTTCTCTCTCTCTCATTCTCTCTCTCTCAAATAAATAAATAAAATCTTTAAAAAAAATTAGTAATAGGCAATAAACTCAAATTTGATAAATATAAAAAATTTCTGATAGAGCAAATGAGGTTATATATATTTCAAAAGTCCCTATTTGTTCTAGTTCCCAAGTTATACTCTGAAGTAGTTATGAATAAAATCATTTGTTTTAAAATATTCTAGTCCCACCCCCTACGAAGAAACAGATGGAGGAGGGACAAGTGGTTCAAGATTGGCAACACATGGCAAACTGTTTAAGATGTGATGGATACATCAAGGTTCATTATATTGTCTTCCCTATTTTTCTCTATTTGAAAATGTGCACAATAGAACCCAACAAAGGCAGGTAATGAGACCCAAAGGTACACAATAGGCTTATAAAAACACACAAAAATTGCCACCTAACAATTAGAAATGCAAATTAAAGCTACAAATCAGATGTCATTTTCATCAAACAGAAAAAAAGATCAAAATACTTGGTAACATTCAGTATTGGCGGGAAGGGTGGCAACTGACTCTGCTGGGGAAAGTACCTGTCAGTACACCGGAGGGCACTTTGGCCTCACCTTTCAAAATTATAAACACACACTCCTTGGCCCAGGAATTTACGCTACATATACTAGTTCAGTAAGTATTTTCCACCACCTACTATGGCCATGCACTGGAGACCAGAAAAGTGGAAGAAACAATGCCCCTGCTCTCATGGGGCTTCCATTCTTATAGGGGAGGAGATAACCAATAAAGCAAGTTAAGTACACAGACAATTGCAAGGTCAAAAGAGATAAGTGTGATGAAAAAAGCAAACAGAATAAGGGCGTTGGGAGTGGCAAGAAGTCTATTTTGGATGGGCTGGCCTGGGAGGGCCTCTCTGAGGACGTGACAGTTGGGCAGAGACCTAGGTGAAGAAGAAAACAAAGCAGAATAATGTCCAGGAGAACATTCCAAGAAATAGAGAAGGAAGCCACAGGGTAACACACAAATTTGGCTTTCCTGCCCTCTCCTTTTCTTTTTATTCCCTAACAGCCTTTTATTCCTCCAAAGGATATGAGCACCTCTTGAATGTCTTTGTCCCGATACAAAATGAAAATAAGCATATCCTTTTAATACAGTACATCTTCAAGGAAGGTGCCAGGCCAGCACTGTTTCCCCAAACACTATTGTGCCTAACAATTTCATTTCTTCAAAGGAAGAATTCCCAAACTTATCTAGGTGTAATGCCAAACCTGTTAACAAAAGTACATTAAAGCTATTCATGAGTTTGTAATGAAGATAAACCTTTCCACAAAAAAAGAGAACAAATTAGTTTCACAAAAGATACTGACCAGTTACTAGGTAACTTTATACCAAAAAAAAAAAAAAAATACTGTCAGTCCCTGCCCTTCTGGCAAGAATGTGAACCACTGACTTAGAGGAGACTATAGTTTAAATTCATAACCTTTTAAACAATGAAGTTGAAATGTTGACGTGTCTACTTGGATAAATATTCTCTTTATCCAAATATTTATATTTTTATTTATCCAAATATTCACATTTTCAATTTCATGATTTTTTAGGCAATGAAACTGATATTTTTAGAGACTATTTTGATAAATACTTGACACTGAAGTGGCCAGTGTCAATTAAGGGCATTCCAGTTGACCCCAAAAGAAATGACTGCAACAGCACCTGAGAATATTACGCACTAACTTGTTCAAAATCGTGAAACATCCAGACTTCAAAATTGCCATGAATGATACGTTCTATGAAGAGCCAGCTTAATTACGAAGCTAGCATACGGGGAGAGATTTGCCCCTGTGAAATACACTAACTTAATTCTGAAATCAGCTTTACCTGGATGCATTCATCTCCTACTCAGAGGGAGAACGCAAAAAACTAAAAGACTTCCAGCCTCTACGGAGATTCCTAAGGAGACAACTCGTGTAATCAAATTTCAAGCACCACTAGCCATCCGCACAATCAACGACAGGTTTCCCTCCAACAGCTGACGATGCGGTGTATCCCTGGCCACAGCACACCATTTAACCTTCCCCCAAAAGTCCAGCAGTTCTGAGCAGAGAATGCCACTTCTGACAACTAGTTACCCGAGAAAAATTATCAAAGTGAGAAATCGGAAAAAAGGTAAGCTTCCGCACACGCCAGTCCAGCAAGAGGGGCGCTCAGTATGGAGTTCTATGCAGATCTGAGGCGAAGAATCCCAACGCTCTCTGGCTCGGAAGCATGCCCTTCCGCGTCCCACCTCTTACATGCGGGGCGTCCAGGAGCCTCACAAGGGACGCCCCCCACGCCCTCTACTCTCCCACACGGGGTCGTGATTGCCAGCCGCTCCCAACTCCTGGGAGAAACGCTGGTCCAGCCCGTCGCGGACGAGGTCCCACTGGCTCACCTGGGAAGGGTAAGGGCACGGGGCTGGGCTCCGCGGAGGGCCAGAAAAGGACACCAGGGGAGGGAAGGGGACAGTCGGGGGCGACCCCGCAGGCAGATATCTGGGGAAAGGATGCCCGCGGGCCGCATTTGCGGGCCAGGCGAGGTCTGAAAAGGATGGAGGAGAATTGGAAGAGGACACCAAAGGATGGAGGGTAGACGTGGGGCGCTCCTGCAGGCAAGAAACTTACGGAGGGGCGGGGGGCTTAAGGGCTGCGTGCGGGCCAGGTAGGGGGTCCCGCTCCTGCGCCGTGCCTCACCTGCCCAGCGGCCGCTTCATGCCCGTGTCCGCAGCGCAGCGCGGCTCTGCCGGCCCCTTGCCCGCCAGGCGCAGGTTCTGCTTCAGGCGGCAGTCGGCGTCCAGCGCCGCGGCGACCGAGCCGGAGGAGGACGAGCCCGAAGCGGCGCAGCGCTCATGCTCCAAGGCGACGGGCTCGGTCCGCTTCCTCATCCCGCGGCCGACACGGCCAGCCGCCGACGGCGTCCGCTGACCTCGCCCGCCCGCCCGCGCTGCAGTCGCCGCTACTCACAGGAGCCGCTGCCGCCGGGAGCCCGCGGCCTCTCGCATCCCAGCCCCAGGCCTCGGCGCCCGGCTCTACGGACCGGCGCCGGGGACCAGGTCGGCAGCGCCAGCCAATCAGCGCCGTGCTCCCACCGGCCCCGCCCCCGGCCCGCCCCCTCCTTGGTTCCGCCGGGAGTGCGCCCGGCGTCCCCGGCGCCGACTTTCAGCCATTTTGGAGAAGGGCAGGTGAAGCCTTGCGGGGCGTTACGGTCCGGTTCGGGCCAAGCGACCGGTGGTGCTGGCGAAGGGTCTGGGCTCTGTCGCCGCAGGTGGGAGGGCCGCCTCTGCCTGGGTGCTCGGCGCCATGAGCAAACGCATCCGGTCCTGCCCCAGGTCAAAGGCCCGAATGTGGGAGGACGCCGGCCAGGAAGCAGCCAACGAGCCAGAGCCGCAGAGGAAAACTGGCTCCTTCCTCTCCCGCCTCAGACCGTGTGATTTTTCCCTAATGTTGAAAACCCAATGTGAATGAACCCCTCGGAAACGTTTCTGTAATGGTTTATGAGAACAAAAAGCAAAAGGTAACAAATCACCGTTCTCATGATTTATAACTATTTTCCCACAAGATTTTACTTTAAAAAAATATGCTCTCAGGTGCTTTTTTTTTTTTTTTTAACACAAGCATATAGATAATTTAATTTTTAAGTTTTGGGCTGAACATATGAAAACTAAACTCATTAAACAGTTTACTTTTTAAAACCTGTATTTGATTTTAGATTTTTGTAAAGCAATTAGTAGCAGCTGGTGGAGGTACGCCTGGCTGGCTCAGTGGGTGGAGCATGAGACTCTTGATCTGGGGTTATAGGTTCCAGCCCTAGGTTAGGTGTAGAGATTACTTAAGAATCTTAAAAAAAAAAAAAAAAAGTGGGGAAAAAAATCTGTTTCAAAGATAAATTTACACTTGTGAACCCGAGTTAAGAACTAATTCAACTTGTCTTACAAAGAAAAGAGTAGTTTCACAAATTTAGTTTTACAGCTTGGCATTCTTTCTTACAAAGGATCTACAACCAAGAGATTTGCTTACTTATCACAAAGTGAACTTTCGTTCAACATTCAAAATTTCAACATTTCTGTCAGTTGAAAACTATTGGCAACTGATAATTTAAGATCAGTTAGAAATGCCTTTAGAAATTCACTAGCTCCTTTTTTTTTTTTTTTTTTAAAGATTTTATTTATTTGACAGAGCCACAGCAAGAGAGGGAACACAAGCAGGGGGAGCGGGAGAGGAAGAAGCAGGCTTCCCGCGGAGCTGGGAGCCCGATGTAGGGCTGGATCCCAGGACCCTGAGATCATGACCTGAGCCGAAGGCAGACGCTTAATGACTGAGCCACCCAGGCGCCCCTCACTAGCTCCTTCTGTTAGCTTTGTAATGATAGATCTAAATTGCGAAAGAATTTCATTGACTGTGTTACAAAAAATATCACAACCAGCATTCATATTTGTGTGGATATCTCTAAATACTCTTTTAGAATTGAAATGGTGAATTCTTTTTTTTTTTAAAGATTTTATTTATTCATTTGAGACACAGAGATACAGAGAGAGAGAGCATGAGCAGAGAGAGAGGCAGAGGGAGAAGCAGGCTCCCCGCTGAGCCAGGAGCCCGATGTGGGGCTCAATGTGGGGCTCGATGTGGGGCTCGATGTGGGGCTCCATATGGGGCTCGATATGGGGCTCGATCCTAGGATCCTGGGATCATGACCTGAGCCGAAGGCAGACGCTTAACAATCTGAGCCACCCAGGCGCCCCGAAATGGTGAATTCTTTAGTACATACTGGAGATTAGGAATCCAGAAACTGAAGTTTAAAAAAAAAATTGACCCTATCACTCACAAAATCCTCTTTAATAGGAAAAAAAAAAAAAGCAAGGAAGGGAGGGCTGTTGAGAAGAGAGAAATGTGAGGGTTATTGAGTCTGGCTGGCATTAGGCCTTGCCCATACAGTCCTCGACTCTTGGTCCTATATAGGCCAAGAGCCTGGCTGCTCCAAGGTGGGCCACTTTGTCTTGAAGATTATTTTGAGCTAAAGGCAATCAAGACCCTATGGACTTCCTCCCTATGGAAGAAACGTTTTGCCCCTCCCTTCACTACATAGAAGAATCTAAATTGGGGTCTTTCCCAGAATAATGGTTATTAGCAGAAATAAATTTTCGAAGTGACTCACCTATATGGCAAGGCAAGCATCTAATTACCAAACATCTCTTTTTATTGCCCTGTGACTTGCATTCTTTCCCTTCTACCCCTACCTGATTCTCCTTACACATACGTATATTTATATTTATTTATATATTTATATATAACTTTATAATATATGTATACCTTATTTTGCCTATTTTTGGAATTTCCATGTCAGTGTGGATTCCCTGTATGGGTAGGAAACTAAATTTGATTTTCTCCTGTTAATCTGTCTCATATCAATTTGATTCTTAATACAGCTAGAAGGACCTCTAAGGGGACAGGAAATTCTTGCTCCCTAATATTCCACATTGACTTTCTTTTCTTTTTTTTTTTTTTTAAAGATTTTATTTATTTATTTGACAGAGAGATAGTGAGAGCAGGAACACAAGCAGGGGGAGTGGGAGAGGGAGAAGCAGGCTTCCTGCCAAGCAGGGAGCCCGATGTGGGACTCGATCCCAGGACCCTGGGATCATGACCTGAGCCGAAGGCAGATGCTTAACGACTGAGCCACCCAGGCGCCCCTCCACATTGACTTTCTGTATGGTCTTTAAATACTGTCCTACACCGGTGACACCCACATTTGTATCTCTAGTCCACACCCCTTCCTTGAACTCCAGGCTCCTCTACCTAATGGTTTACTCATCCACTCTGATATCCTATAGGCACTTAAAGTTATTATGTTCAAAACTGAGCTCCCAACTCTTTTCCCACCCCCAGCTCCATGTGTAACCTTCCTCACCTCAGGAATGGCAAACTTACACTTATATTTCCTTAGGTCAAAACCCTGGGATTATCCTTGAATCCTCCCCTTTTTATGTCTGTATTAGCACTCCTTTCAAAAGCTATACAGGATGCAACCACTACTCACCACCTCCTCCATCCACACCCTGGCCCAAGCTGCCATCCTCTCTCACATGGATTATTTTAATAGCATAAGTGGTCTCCTGCTTCCACCTTTGCCAACTTTTGTCTACTTAACTCAGCTGTCAGAAAGTTCTTTTTAAAGATGTAGGTCCAGTCCTGTCACTTGTTTGCTCAAAATACCTGTATGGTTTCCCATCTCACTGAAAATAAAACAGAAAGCTTGTGAAAGGGCCTACAGGGTCCTACCTGACATGGCCTCCAGCTCTCACTCTGATCTCAGCCACCAGGGTCTCCCTCCCTTACTCTGCTCCAGTGTCACTGCCTCCTTGCTGAAGCAGTGGCTGCAAGGAGAGGTGTGGGTGGCATGTGTGTGAGTCACCCATCCCCCTCGTTGGGGCCTTTGCACCTGCATTCCTACTGCCTGAAATTCTCTGCCCATCCTATGGCCCCATCTCCACATGGCTTACTCCCTCCCCACTGCAGGTCTGTGCCTTCTCTGAACACTAACAAAACCCTCGGGTCCTCTCATCATCACTCTGTTTACCTGCCTTGGCTTATTCTCCTTAGCACTTTTCACTAATATATTTATCATCAGTACCCCACACTGGAACATAGACTTGTGAACATAGTTTGTTCACTACTTTATCTTCAGTGTCTAGAACAATGCTCAGTATACAGTAGGCACTTCATAAATATTTGCTGAAGGAGTAATGAATCACCACAACCCCTCAGAAGTGTGTACTCTTGTCCCCATTGTACAGGTAAAGAAATGAATCTCAGGCCCAGGATCTGAAATGAAAAAGGTTTATGATAAAGGAAGGTTGTTTGGATACTGGCGATTTTTGGAATACAATCCTGTAGCACAGTCCACTATAGATCTGTGTATTTAATAAAACTTTAGCTAAATTATCCCTGACTGTAGAGCTGAAAAGGAAATGTCACTCCACTTAAAGATTCAAAGACTTTGTAGGCCATTCCCATGCTCATTCTTCAGATTACACATCTGTTGTATCTTTATTTGCAAAAGAGGAACATAGTTTCTAGGGTTAGCCAGAATGAATCCAATAATATTGCCTTTTTAAAAATACTGCTTTTTAAAAGGTAGCCAAATAAAGCAAAAATTTTTTTCAGGTTTTATTTATTTATTTGAGAGAGAGAATGAGAGAGAGAGAGAGCGTGAGAGGGGGGAGGGTTAGAGCTCAGAGAAGCAGACTCCCCGCCGCGCAGGGAGCCTGATGTGGGACTGGATCCCGGGACTCCAGGGATCATGACCTGAGCCGAAGGCAGTCGCTTTACCAACTGAGGCACCCAGGTGCCCAAGCAAATTGTTTTTATAGCAGTAATTTCCACCTTTGATTCTACATGGTTATGAAAATTTCCATAATCATGTAGGTAAGATTATGGCTGTGTGAATTTGTGTTAATCTGGGTATTTTTCCCCTTTGTAGACTTCGTGATTAGAGCTATTTTCCAAATGTTTTTAAATGACTCCTTTAAAATCAAAGGCGATTCTGTAGGGCTGAAAGCTTAAATACAAAGTCTGTCACTTTAGAAGCTGAGTAAACTTGGGTAAATTATCTATTCAGTTGTTGGGGTGCCTGGCTGGCTCAGTTGGTAGAACCTGCAATTCTTGATCTCAGGGTCCTGAGTTCAAGCCCCATGTTGGTCATGGAGCCTACTTTAAAAAAAGAAGTTATTTAGCTTGCTTTCTAATCGGTACCGAGAGTCTTAAAAGCCACTTTAGGGTTAGTCGTGAGAATTAAATGAAATATATGTCACAGTCTCTACCACACAGGAGATACCAGTAAAAGTGGTTTCCCTTTTCTATCAAACAAAAACCCACACTGCAAAACTAAAATGCTGCGTCATAACATTAAGCACACCAAGTTTCTGAGCATTCCTTCTCAACCTTAGGGTAGAACCCCGTTGAACCTAAACGAAAATGCATGAATCAAATGGAAAGACGTTGCGAGATATGCATATAGCGCGAGCGGCGCTTCAAAAAAAAGAGCCTCTGCTCAGCGTACAGGCTGGAACCCAGGCCCACTGATTCTCCCGCAGCTGCAGGGGTTTCCCTAGGGAAGGAAGCGCCCGTGCACCCCTCCTCGGCTTTCACTCGTCTTACAGTGCGGCTGCGCAGCGGAGGCAACTGTCCCTTGGCCGTCGCCGTAGACCGCGAGGCCCGGGAGCGCTTTTCTATTGGCTGGGCATGTTTGGCGCCAAAGAGCGAAGCAGAGGCGGAGGCGAGTATCCGCAGCTGTGGGACTGCAAGCCGTAGGATACCCAGAGCGGTGTGCGTGAACCCGGCGACCGTTTGGCGTGAGAGCCGGCGGTTAACGAGACATCGGGACCGGGGCACGTACGACATGTTCTGCGAAAAGGCCATGGAGCTGGTTCGCGAGCTGCATCGCGCGCCAGAAGGGCAGCTGCCAGCCTTCAACGTGAGGGGGTGGGGGGGACGGGGTAAACGAGGCTGGCCTTGCTGAAGGGGCGGGGCTTGGGAGTGCAGGGGACGGGCGGGAGGAGGGTCGGCGACCCCGCGGGTCTAACCTGCGTCTCATCGGAGCGTGGGTTTTCTCACGGTGTCAGCTCCAAAGTCGGGAACAAAAATTTCGGAACACGGAAAAACAAAATATGGCAGGAAAAAGAGCATTCATGTTTATATCACCCAGCGATTTGGTGAATTTCCTGAGTATATTTCCTTCAGTGTTTTCCACGTATAGCTTTACTGCTGGTTCCTTTTTTGACCAAGCATTTCTTGGTTGCCTGATAATAATCTAGCATTTGTTGAACCCTTCAGGCAGAAGCTAGGCCTGTAAAGCCAGGCTGGGATTCGAACTCCGTTGTGTGACGTTGGGGCAGTTACTCAGGCTTTCTGTGCTGTCCGTTTCTTCTGTAAAAAATGGGAAAGAGCGTAACTCAACTCTTCCTGTAGTGAGGGCTCTGGGAGTGGCATATATATATCAGGTTCCCTGGACAATGCCTGACACACAAGTAGCAGCGAGTTAGTGTTTGCTACTAACTTTCTTTCTACCGCTGCTGCTACTGAAGTGGGAGAGTGAGGTTCTTGTCTCACGGAGACAAGAATGAATCTCGCGAAAAAAAAAAAAAAAAAAGAATGAATCTCGCGGACGAAGGAGAGTGAGTAAAGCGGTAGAGGTAATTAAGTGAGGATACAGAAGTTCTCAGGAGTGAGAGGGGTCCGGACAGGGTTACCATTGAGGGCTTTTAGGGTTGGTCTTTTATAGAATGCTAACCAGGGAACTTAAATATTTTTGACTTCTCTATTGATAGCACCATTGAGTAAAGACTAGTGATAACACCTTCAATGGCTTGCTTCCTTTTTAGGGTCCCATGATTCTTTGTTGGTCACAAGTAGCAGTTATAACAAGACCCCAGCTCTGACACCTAGGACAGGATGGTCTGGTTTGTTCCCTTATCTCTGGTTTCCTTACACCTCTGCATTTTGGGGATTTTTGTGAGCCCGATCCTGTGGCCCCCTACCTATCTCTCCCTACCTATCCCTTCCTGTCCCTTACTCACTACTACTTATTACCCTTATTCTTATTCTTCTGTTACTACCCCAAAAGGATGCTAAGCACGTAGCTTATGTTGTCTGTTGTTCTCATAGCTTATGTTATCTGTTGTTCTCATAAGAACGCTTTGAGATTTAAACCATTTCTTCCAGCCATGTATACAGAGGCTTGGGGAGATTAAGTATCTTGGCCATAGCCAGTAAGAAGTCAAACTAGGATTTAAACCCTGGCAGTCTGGCTTCAGACCTGCACTCTAAATTCTATACTTGACTACTTTCCCTAGCATAGGGCAGCCACTGTGTGGATGCCAGGGCACGTTCTGCTGGGAGAAGGGCACAAAAAGGAGTATTAGAATGCAGTGTGAGGACACCAGAGAGGTATACACAGGAGCATAAGGAGAAATGCTGGTATGAAAAGGGATAGAGGAGGGGGCATTTGGGCCATGCCTGGAAGGATGAGGTCCCGCTCTGAGAAGGAAGATAGGCATTGCAGCTGAAGGATACAGCCATGCAGAGATTCATGGTCACATAGGAAGAGGGGACTGACGTGTGTGCAGAGGCTACAAAGGTAGGTTCTAGGCCTAGGAAAGTTGGGTATTCACGTATAAGGCATTTGGAAGCTGGTAAAGGATTTTAGATAGGGGAGTGATAGGGCAGTTTTTTTATGTTTTGAGGGTAATGATGGCAGAACTACGTAGAACAGATTGGAGATAAGAAAGAACGGTGGCAGGGAGATGGTTATGGGTGGTTATGATCACTCTCTGACAGGCCTACTGTGAGAGCTGTGTATGATCCAAACTGTGTCTGGTCGCTGGGTCCAGAAATCAGTGTCTGGGTTTCAGACATGAGGCAAACAGGACTTGTAACTGTTAGAACAGGGGTGGAGATGGGGTGGGTAATCAATGAAGGAGGAGTCAGAGGATCTTGGGGGGATTCTCTCTCAGGTACAACATCAGAGATCAGGAGGAAGAGTGTTTGGGGAAAGGTGAGTTTTGTTTTGAACATTAAAGAGCACCTGGTCGAACAGTTAGGTCCTTTTGCAGATGAGACTGAGCCAAAAGAAATTACAGATCAAATTCAGGGACTTGTCTGAACTTAAAGCATATTGGAGCAGAGCCTCACCTTGAACACAGGTTTCCTAGATTCCTGTCTGTTGTTCTTTCAGGACAGTTACTTCATTTAAAAAGTTAGGAGACAGTGGTGGGAAGTTCAGCAGAGATGCTGGAATGCTAAGGCGTGCAGGCTCTAAAATATGACTCCACACTGCATTCAGACAACCAGGCACTTTGGAGGTTATCTAACATAGCCCAAACAGACTCAGACTTGTCCAACAAGAGCTGGCCATGCCAGCCTTGCGACTGGCTCTTCGGACCTCTAGTCCATCCAGCTCTCTGTTTCACTCAAATTTTAAGTTACCACTTCTGGGGGGGGTCCAGTGGCAGAACTTAGAAGCTATAAAATCACTCCTTTTTCTAGGTCTTAGTTTGGCAGGGCACCTTTTGCAGCTTTTGCTGCATGTGCACCTTCCACTGACAAACCTACCACCTAGCCAGGTGACTCAGCAGCCTGGAAGACTCAGCCTGAGGAGGTTGGCCACTCTTTGACACAGCCAAGCAGGAACAGGCCAATCCATCTGATTGATCTGAGGGCTGATAGGCCCATGACCCACAGGACCTTTCAAGAATCATTCCTTCCAGGAAAATGATAGTCACTGGGTCTAGAGCAGGGACTCTGCCTTGTTCATTCCAGGATCTCTCAAGGTTAGGTGCTGTATTCAGCAAATTGAAATAATTGTCCACTTTCTATATGCAGAACTGGTAATAGTTTAAGTGAGTTTTTAGGAAAATTATCTTGGGCTACCAGCCTGAGGTGGGAACACAAAACAGTGCAATTTTTACTATAGATAAGTCTGAGTCTGAAAACGTGTGTATTTTTTTTTTTTTTAAGATTTTATTCATTTATTTGAGAGAGAACATGAACAGAGGGTAGGGACAGAGGGAGAGAGAGAAGCAGACTCCCCACTGAACAGGGAGCCCAACACAGGGCTTGATCCCAGGACCCTGGGATCATGACCTGAACCAAAGGCAGACACTTAACGACTGAGCCACCCAGGGGCCCCAGCATGTGTGTATTTTTTTTTTTAAGATTTTATTTATTTACTTGAGAGAGTAAGAGAAAACACAAGCAGAGAGGAGGGACAGAGGGCAAGGGAGAAACAGACTCCCCGCTGAGTGGGGAGCCCAATGTAGGACTCAATCCTGGGACCCCGGGATCATGACCTGAGCTGAAGGCAGATGCTTAACCGACTGAGCCACCCAGGTGCCCCACATATATTTTTATAAAATTATTTCACACATTGTGTCTTTTGTATACCTGCAGATCTATTAATCATACAAGAGTTTCAGCTATTCCTTAAAATATTATTTGCTGGTAAAAGGAATATTTAACTGAATTCTAATAAGTCAGACTTTTCTATGATCTCTTAACTACTTGATGAAAGGGAAGATAGAAGATAACTTCTATCATACAGATCATACAGTATGTACTCCTTTGTATCTGACTTCTTTTGCTTAGTACAGTATATTTGAGAATATCCTTAATCAGTACGTTGATTGCACAAATTGTCAGTAATTCATTCCTTTTTATTGCCTTTTTTCTCTTTTTTTATTGTGGTAAAATATATATAACATTAAATCTGCCATTTTAGCCAATTTTAAGTGTACACTTTAGTGCCACCAATTACATTCACATTGTTGTGCAACCATCACTCTTCTGTCCAAAACTTTTTCATCAACTGAAACAGAAACTCTGTAACCATTAAGCAATAGCTCCCCATTCCCCTCCTTCCCCAGCCCCTGGTAACTTCTAATTTACTTTCTGTCTTCATGAATTTGCCTATTTTAGATATTTCAGGTAAGTGGAATCTCACACTATTTATCTTTTTGTGTCTGGCTTATTTCACTTAGGATAATGTTTCCAAAGTTCATCCATGCTGATGCATGCAGTACTACATTCCTTTTTATGCCCAAATAATATTCCATTGAATGGATACACCATATTTGGTTTATTAGTTAATCCATATTTGGGTGTTGATGGATATTTGGGTGTTTTCACTTTGGGGCTGACATAAATAATGCTGCTCAGAACATTTATGTACAAAGTTTTTGAATGAACGTATGTTTTCAAGTCTCTTGAGTATATACCTAAGAGTGGAATTGCTGGATAATATGGTAATTCTATGTTAAACTTTTTGAGGAACCATCAGATAGGGCTGCACCATTTTATATTCCTACCTACAGTGTATGAGGGTTCCATTTCTCCTCATCCTCACCAACACTTGTAATAGCCATTACCAAAGGTATTGCTTTTTGGTAAGATATATAAATCAAATCAAAGAGTAGATCAAACATTGCTACAGACTTGGTGAAGGAATTAATGGATGTGTCAATATCATATGTTCTAGGAGGATGGACTCAGGCAAGTTCTGGAGGAGATGAAAGCTTTATATGAACAAAACCAGTCTGATGTGTAAGTTTTGATGAGATTGATTTTTTTTTAAGATTTTTTATTTATTTGAGAGAGAGAGCACGAGCGGGGGGGAAGAGCAGAGGGAGAAGCAGGCTAGGGAGCAGGGAGCCTGACATGGGGCTTAATTCCAGGACCTCAAGATCATGACCCGAGCCAACTGGGCCACCCAGGCGCCCCTGATGAGACTGATATTAAAAAAATTTTTTTTTTTTTTTTTATTCATGAGAGTCAGAGAGAGAGAGAGAGAGGCAGAGGGAGAAGCAGGCTCCCCGCCTTGCAGGGAGCACAATGCGGGACTCAATCCCAGGACCTGGGATCGAGACTGATATTTTAAAACAGCTTAAGAAATACGATACTGAAGGGGTGCCTGGGTGGCTCAGTTGGTTAAGCGACTGCCTTCAGCTCGGGTCATGATCCTGGAGTCCCTGGATCGAGTCCCGCATCGGGCTTCCTGCTCGGCAGGGAGTCTGCTTCTCTCTCTGACCCTCCCCCCTCTCACGTGCTCTCTCTCTCTCTCTCATTCTGTCTCAAATAAATAAAATCTTTAAAAAAAAAAAAAGAAATACGATACTGAAGTCAGATAATGTTCCGTCAGTTTTTTAGATATGATTTTTTTTTTTAATTCTCTGTGAGCCTGATCATGCTGTAGCTATACAGGACTGAGGGGATTTGTGTTGATCACCCTAAATCTATGGGATTCAAATGGTGCATGGTACCTAGCAGATGCTCAATAAATATTTATTTGAATGATATGACTTGCAACCTTTTAGAGTGAATTTAAGAGATGAGACAGGAGCAAATAAAAATCCTAACAAAGTGAAACCTATAGTTTCTACTGCTCATTTGCACTAATAGCTGCCTAGTGCATTAAAGGGGTAATAGGCGATTCGTAAACTTAGCAGTAGCAAAAGTAACTTCCAGCAGCTTGAGTGGAGTTCACCGAGAACCAGTGTGACAGAAGGCTACAGCCTGGTGCGTGAGAGGGCTCTAGTGTTAGAGAACATTTAGAGCTGAGCATGGTGGTGGCACAGTGGAGAATTTGGGCTGTGTGACAAACTTCATAGGTTCTTGTGATTTGGTGAAGAGTAAGACACAAGGAGGACCAACTCCGGGATCAGAGGTGAGGTATCCAGATCTCAGCCTAGAGAGACGTCCGTTTGTTACGTGATGTTTCACTTTTGGCCTTGTTTGGTACGGTGTTTTTATCAGTTACTTGGGCATAGAAATCAGTAACATGCTGGTAAGATCTGTGGAGCACAGGAACAATGGGAACGTTTTCCAACTGTGGTGTTTAAGGAAAGATACAGAAAAATCTTCATAGATGGAATGAGGAACGGAACCATAGCAGGTTTACAGTAAGTGTAAGGCAGATATAAAGTCCTGAACTCAAGTTCCCAAGCAGTTTGTTCATTCATTAATTCATACAACAAATATGTATTAAATGATTATGTGCTGATAAGTGGCTCTGGTATTTCAGCTGTAAACAACACAGTAAAGATACCTGCCCCCATAGCCCTCACAGTCTAATGCAGAAGAGAGATAATAAATACAGATACACCAAACTGGGATACATGCCATGAAGGAAAACAACAGAGTTCTGGGAGAGAGAATAGTTAATTAAAGATAGACTTAGATTGAGGAGTCAGGGAAGTTCTCTCCAAGGAAGAAACCTTTTAGCTGAGATCTAAAGGAGAAGCCGGTTTCCATGAGGCAGTGATTGTGGGCAGAGAACATCCTAGGTGGAGGGGGCAGCATATGCAAAGGCCCTGAGTTGTGAAGAAGGGTGGGGTGCTCAGGACAGTGATAGTTAAAGAAAGCCAGTGTGGCTGAAGCTTAGCAAGCAGGCAAAGGTTGACACCAGGTGAGAATTAAGCACGTGGGACTGATGGTGGCATGGTTGTGTTTTAAAAGATCACCCTTGCTGCTGTGTGGACAGTAGACCAGGGGACCAAGAGGAGAGGGAGGCATGCTGGCCATCCAGGTGACAGCAGAGGTGACCTGGACTAAGCAGAAAGTAAACAGGTTAAAGACATATTTATTTAGGAGGTGGCCTAACAGGCCTTAGTCCAGTAAGGGAATGATTTTCCTGTATTTGCTATATTTGTACCATTTGCAAATTTGTGATCCAAAATTCTGTGCCCCACCCTCCTAATTTCTTTCTTGGCGGGGGATGGGGGCAGTCACTATTACCAGTTTCTGTTAAAATTTTTTGTCAGAGGAAGTCTATTCCTTTTTAATTACTCATGTAAAAGTAAAATTTTTTAGGAAGTCCTTATGTACTTAATGAAATACTCTGGAGTTAGCTTGAATATATTTTATTTGTACTGTTTCTTTATAATCCAGAGCACGTTGTAAACAATGTGGAGAACGAGTCTGACTTTCAGAGAGTGAACAGAAGTGTACAGAGCAGATCTAGAAGACATGATAGGACCAGGACATAGATTTTTGCCTCTATTTTCAGGGCCTGGAGCAGGCACTGCAGGAAGGAATCCTTTTCTTATCCATCCAGTTCCTTTTAAAACTCCAAAGTAGATTCTTACTCATCCTGTACATCTGTCTTTGTGTTTTCCCATCATTTTTATTATGGTAAAATAATAACATAAAATTTGCCATCTCAACCCTTTTAAGTGTACAGTTCAGTAGTATTAAATATGTGCATAATGTTACACAGCTATCACCACCATCCATCTTCATAATCCTTTATCATGGAATACTGAAACTCTGTGCCCATTAATTAATTATACATCTGGTTTTTAAATGTGATACTTGTCTAATATCTAAGGAGATGTACATTTTGTATGATAAAACCAAAATTTTTCCCTCTCTGTGTGAACAACAGTGCAGTATAAGACACGTACATAGGTGAAGATCAATAAATATATGTGGGATAACTGAAGGACCATTTTGACTCCATTTTATTCCAAGGATTTGGAAAAACCATCAAAAGAGTAGTACCATTTAAAATAAAAACATGATATAAGACCATAATCTTGTGAACCATGATGTTAGGTTTATCTCTTATTCCAGCCTAATAAAAGAATTCCAAAAAGTGAGTAAATACAATATGTGTCTTTTGAAAATAATGGAGATTAATCAGTGTGCAAAAATGCATAATACCAAATGGTTAAATGAAATATCTATAGCATGATCTTAGGTAAATTAGTTTACTTTTGGCTTTCAGCTTTTGGCTTTTTTATCTTTTAACATACCAGTAAAATCTCTGATGTGGAGCAGGTACTATTTGGTTAGATTAACTGCTAATTATAAATAGATAAAAACAAACAAGGAAGTCAGTTGTTAGTTGGCTTTGAAAGTTTATCTTATGCTGAAATATGTATATTTGTTCTTTTCTTCTTTAAATGTTCTTACCAGAAATGAAGTGAAGTCGGGTGGACGAAGTGACTTGATAACAACCATCAAGTTTCGACACTGTTCTTTGTTAAGAAATCGACGCTGTGCTGTAGCGTACCTGTAAGCTTCTCAATTTTTGCTTGGGGTGGCAGGGAACAATGGAGGGCTTTCCATGTGGCTTCCTAATTAACCATTTCAAATGGATAACAGAAATTCTTAGATTTGTTTTTCCTGTATAAGCATTCTAAATACTTCTTTTTTCCATTAAATTTTTTTTTATCGTGAAAAATTGCAGTATTCATAAAACCGGGGAGAATAATATGAACCCCCATGGAGCTACCATATAGGCTTAACAGTTTTTAACATTTTCCCATATTTGCTCCATCTTGTTTTATTTGCCTGTGTTAAACTATTCTAGAACCTGATGGCCTTTTACCACCGAATACTCTAAGAAATAAGGACCTTTTGGGCCTTTTCTCCCATGAGCATGGCACTATTCTCAAACCTAGAGAAACAAAGAACACTTCACTGCACCCATCCAGTCCATACATATGTTTCCCTGTCATCCCCAAGGTGTCTTCTTATAGTCATGCAGTCTCGTACCTTCTGTCCTAGGTATGACCGATTGCTTCGGATCAGAGCACTCAGGTGGGAGTACGGCAGCATCCTGCCCAATGCCTTACGATTTCACATGTCTGCTGAAGAAGTAAGCTAGTACTGTTGTTCACATTTCCGAATCTGGAAAATGCTGGTTCTGGCATTGTTCTGTAATAGTATTTATGGTATTTCTCTTTGTCTTTAATGTCTGTTTTTCAGCAGTTTTTGGTCTGTATTTATTTAGTATATACTATGATGAGAATGGCAGGAGCAATTCTAAATGCTATGTAGAAACCTCTCTGATTAACAAAATAAAGGGCCCTACTTATTAGTGATCCATCAGTAGGGTTAAAGAACTGGCATTATTATTTAGGGATTTTCCAAAGAAAGAGTGTGTGTGTGTACTTTCCTAGTCAACATGAATATCTGTAACAAAACTCTTCATTTGACCCATCACTAAGGCTCAGAGCTAGCCCAATATTTAAGGACACAGGACTTGACTCAAGTAAACTTGGGTTCAGATCTTGTTTCTGCTACTGTCTAATCTTTGGTAAGTGACTTGAGTTCTCTCTATGCCTAAATTCCCTCATCTACACAATGAGGATGGTAGTACTCACCTATTAAAGGCTTTCAGTGACTTCTGACACTCTAGAGTTAGACCAACTTCACAGGCTAAGACTGCCCTTACTGCAGACACCAGCCATAGGTTTGGGGGTTCCCAGGGCTTCCCGCCATTCTAACTGGCTACAAATTTGGGGGGTCCTGCTATCTCCATAGGTTTGGAGCTTTGAATCTCTTGACGCCAGTTGAACTTCTAGAGTGGAGAGGGGAGCTAGAGATGGAGCTCAGTTACATGGATAGTGTTTTAAGCAATGGTGCCTGTGTGATGAAATCCCAGTAAAAATTCTGGACACCAAAACTGGTGTGAGCCTCCCTGGTTGATAGTACTTTGTGTGTATTGTTACATACCATTGTGCCAGGAGGGCAGTGTGTCATGATTCCATAGGGAGAGGACACTAGAAGCTTCATGTTTGCTTACTCAGGGAGCAAGAATGTCCTGTCCCCTTAAGGTTCTTTTAGCCAGACTAAGAATCAAACTGACATGAGACAGATTTTTTTTTTAAGATTTTATTTATTTATTCATTAGAAAGAGAGAGAGCGTGCACATGCACAAGCAGGAGGAGGGGCAGAGGGAGAGAATCTCAAGCAGACTTTGTGCTAAGCACAGAGCCCAGCTCGGGGCTCATTCTCACAACCCTGAGATCATGACCTGAGCCAAAGTCAAGAGTTGGACACTTAACTGACTGAGCCACCCAGGTGTCTCAATGTGAGAAAGATAAACAGGAGAAAATCAAATTTCATACATACAAGGAATCCACACAGACACGGAAATTCCAAAAACAGGCAAAATGAGGTCTTTTTTGTTGTTGTTAAGTAAGCTCAATGCCCAATGTGGGGCTTGAACTCAAGACTCTCAGATCAAGAGGATCTAGAGTCATATACTCTACCAGTGGAGGCAGCCAGGAGCCCCAAGGGTTAGGGGTTTAGGACTTCAAAGGGAAAGAATGTAATCCTCAGGAAGAATGAAAAAGAGCAAATGTTTGGTAAACAGATGTTTGCTGGGCCCACAGAAAACAATGAGACAAAGAAAGGACTTTGATCAAACAGGCCTTTCTAGGTCCCTCCCTGTCTACCATACCTTGTTCACAGTATAATATAGTTGTTTATGGTGGGAACTCTCTTCCTGGAGCAGATCCTCTAAATTTTTTAAAGGCAGTTGTAAGGAAGGTAAAGAGCTTTTCCTGAATCTGCTGGGTTTTAATTGCTTTTTAACTCAAAACAGTCTTCATGCCAAATTGGCCCATTTTGGGGTGACCTGCCCTTGGTCCCTATAGTACCTTCCCAGACCTCACCTTCAGCTGGTAGCGATTCTTATTCTTTTCACTATGGTACAGTTATGATTCCTGCACATACACACACTTTCTGATGAGGATTATGAAGACGTTTTTCTATGGACTCTTTTAGGAGCTGTATTGTTTTACCTTTCATGAGGAGATCTACAGTACTGTGTATAATGTTGCGTTTTGAATACGGATATTGAGATGATCTAGTACATTTAATTGAAAAGGTTCTCCTTTCCCCATTGCTCTATGTGTGGTGCCACTTTTGTCATAAATTGAGTGTCAATATATCTGAGGATTTGGGGTAGGGGACTTTCTCTTCTGTTCTCTTAATCTGTCCTCATACCAATTCTACAGTGTTGTAATTATTGTAACTTTATTGTAAGTCTTAAGTGTGTATTACCATCTTGTTCTTTTTCAAGTGTCTCAACTATTTTTGGCCCTTTGCATTTCCATGTAAATTTTAGACTCAATTTGTCAGGTTCTATTTTTTTAATTGAGATTTTGATTGAGATTGAATTGAATCTATAGGTGAGTTGATACGATTATAATACTGAATCATGTATGTGGTAATCCCTCCATATATTTAGGTCTTCTTTAATATCTCTCAACAATGAAAAAAAACAGATTTACTGAGATATAACTTATATACCATAAAGTTTGCCCCTTTAAAGTATACAATTCAGGTTTTTTTGGTTTTTTTTTTTTTTTTTGGTATATTCAGAGTTGCGCATCTATTACCACCATCTTACTCCAGAACATTTTCACACCCCCAAAAGAAACTCTGTATCCATTACCAGTTATTCCATATTCTCTCCAGTCTTCCCAGCCCCTGGAGGTTACTAATCTTTCTCTGTATATAGGTTTACGTATTATGGATTTTTCATTTAAGTGGAATCATGCAGTATGTGGCCTTTTGTGCCTTTCACTTAGCATGTTTTTAAGGTTCATCCATGTGCTAACATGTATCAGAACTTCATTCTGATGTATGGCTGAATAATATTCTATTGTATGGATATACATATCTTATCCACTCATCAGTTGATGGGACACTTGGGTGTTTTTCTCAGCAGGGTTTTATAGTTTTCAGAAAAACTGTCAATGCAGAGTTTGGAGAGATCATAATTCTGAAATGGTGTTTTTTTCATGGTTCTGTATCTGGTCAGATGTTCCTTAGGTCTGTGATTAAGTATGCTAGTATGTAACTTCTATGAGCATAGAGATTTTTGTTCACTTTGTTAAATGATCCATCCTAAATCCCCAGACTGGTGCCTGGTTCATAGCAGGCAATTAGTAATACTTGTAGTTTAAATGAATGAATGGTCAGTAGTGATCTATGTGGGGAAATGGGCTATTTATGAAAGGATGAGTATATAATTACTGCAAGTTTGTTTTCTTATAACTTTGTCAAATGACTGTCTTTATGTTTACAGATGGAGTGGTTCAATCATTATAAAAAGTCCCTTGCTACTTATATGAGGTCACTGGGAGGAGATGAAGGTTTGGACATCACACAGGATATGAAACCTCCAAAAAGCCTATATATAGAGGTAAATATACCTTTTAAGAAGGATTTTTCTTGGCATGCCTGGCTGGCTCAGTCGGTAGAGCATGTGGCTCTTAATCTCGGGGTTGTGAGTTTGAGCCCTACGTTGGGTGTAGAGATTAGTTAAAAATAAAATCTTAAAAAAAAAAAACCCAACTAAAATAAAATAGATTTTTCTTCAATGCATAGATTATGCTTACTTTTGTCTAAGAAGAGGGGGGTATGTGACTATATATTAACTTACATTAAAAAAGAAAGGAGGGTTCCTGGGTGGCTCAGATGGTTAGGCGTCTGCCTTCAGCTCAGGTTACGATCCCGGAGTCCTGGGATCGAGCCCTACATCAGACTCCTGGCTCGGCAGGGAGCCTGCTTCTCCCTCTCCTCCTGCCTCTCCCCTTGCTCATGCTCTCTGTCTCTGTATCTCTGTGTCTCAAATGAGTAAATAAAATCTTAAAAAAAAAAAGAAAAGAAAGGAAACATGTATCCAAACCAAAATGTTACCTCTAGGGGGATGGTGGGAATAGGATAGAATAGCTAAAATTTTCTGAATTTGCATTTGTATTTTAACAGGGTTAACTTTGGAACCATATACATATTTTACATATTATTAAAAAAATTAAAGTGGAAAACCAACCCAGAGATTTTGAAAGCAGAATGAAACATATGAACCTATGTTTCAAGTTGGTAGATTAGTCACACAGGAATTATTTTAAATTACTTTAAAATACATAAATTGATTATATATCCCTAGTGGATATGTTCTAAGGATGAAAAGAATTACAAAGAAATCTTAACCTGTTTTTAGTAATCATGATTAATAATATCATTACTGTTATTTTGAAACAGTTTATATATTGATAAATCAAGCAAAAAAGTAGTGGCACCAGGAACCAAGATTTTCAAAATAAGAGAAAAGTGATTCAAATATTAAAATGAAAAAGTTAAGTGAAAATCCTATATTCCCAAACTGGAGTTAGAAATATCAGCATGGACTCATGTTGAATCATCTTTTTTTTAAAAAGTGTTTTTTAGCTCTGTCCACGGGACAGACGTAGAAACACCAACCAACCCAATGCCATAAGCAGCCAAATTCTGGAGTTTAAATCCCATTTCCCACAAAGGAAACCAGACTTAACTAGAGGGGGAAATAAAAGGCTGATTCCAGGTTCTAAATAAAATGCACAAGCTGCACTTGGAATACCTTGTTTCCCTAGAAAGCAGAGTGTTTTAAGGACTACAGGGGGGAGTGCTAAAAAAGTGGGAGCTGATTTGAAGGAGCGCTCACTGGCCAAAGAAGGAATAATCCAAGCATCAAAATGATTAACTGCAGTGAATTGCATCACATCGGTTATGTTAGAAGCATGAATGCATAATGATACCAAATAACAATAACAATTTAAAAAATAAAATATTTTTGGTCCCTCTTGAAGAATATGAGGGATGCAACTCATTTTGAAAAGTGGTGAATAAAAGTATAGGATCAAGCATCTATCAGCCTTTACTGTATAAACTCTATCTCAGGGTAGCCAAATTGTTTACAAGGGAAATTTCTTCTTTTTTTTTTTTTAAAGATTTTATTTATTTATTTGAGACAGAGAGAATGAGAGACAGAGCATGAGAGGGAGGAGGGTCAGAGGGAGAAGCAGACTCCCCGCTGAGCAGGGAGCCCGATGCGGGACTCGATCCCGGGACTCCAGGATCATGACCTGAGCCGAAGGCAGTCGCTTAACCGACTGAGCCACCCAGGCGCCCGGAAATTTCTTCTTTATAGTAGAATTCCAGCTAACAAATGCAGTAGAATAAAAGAACTAAATTAGTGCCATTTTGTAGCCATAACACATAGAGGCAAATAGCTTCTAAAACCAGTAGGTGAAAAGTTAATGGAGATGAAGATGATGTTTATGGATGGGTACAGGTAACACCTAGACCCACTGATCAGTCTTAACATCCAGAAAGGAACAGCCAGATATTTTGTGCTTCACAAGGTCCTGTGAGAGGAAATTTGTAACACCATTTGCCAGAAAATCAAAACTGATCTGATCTAGCCTGTAGACGAAACTTCAGTTTATAGGAAATTCAGGGACCGAGGAACATGCTAAGTGACCCCACAGGGATCCACAACAAAATCTAGTTTGTGGGAAACTACCAAAGTACCCACTTTTTTTTTTAAAGATTTTATTTGACAGAGAGACACAGCGAGAGAGGGAACACAAGCAGGGGGAGTGGGAGAGAGAGATGCAGGCTTCCCGCGGAGCAGGGAGCCCGATGCGGGGCTCGATCCCAGGACCCTGGGATCATGTCCTGAGCCGAAGGCAGATGCCCAACGACTGAGCCACCCAGGCGCCCCCCCTCACTTTCTTTATCAATAGATTGCCAAGGGGAAGGGGGAAAAGGGAGAGAACTGTATAGATCGTCAGAAATGTCTTACATGTCAGAAATGTGTCATGTGTAGCTCTTGTTGGATTCTGATGTAACATGGCAGCTTTAAAGAAAACATTCATGAAACAGATGGGGGAATGTGGATATTAACCGGGAATTTCATGATAGTAAAAAATTATTAAGATGATGTGATAACAGTATTGAGATTGTTTCTTAAAAAGAATCTTACACCTGAAACTAATATAACACCAACTGAAATTAAATAAAAACTTAAGAAAAAAAAAGATATTGAATGAAACCAAAAGCTGATTCTTTGTGAACAAGAATAAAATTAATAAACCTCTAAAAAAATAAATAAAAAGAATCTTATTTTGTAGAAATACCTAAATATTTACAGATGAAATGGTATGTAGGATTTGCTTCACAATAATCCAGAAGTAGATAAGGAAGCAAGATTGGCCACATGTTGATAACTGTTGAAGACAGTTGATGGAGTTTCATTATATTAGTCTTTTTTACTTCTGAATGTTTGAGATTTTCCATAATATAAGTCTATTTAAAGAAGCAAAAAGGTCGTAGTGGTGGTGGGGATTTTTCTTAAATGGTATTTCTTGAACTAAGTAAAATACCTTTGGAAGTCATGTTAAGATTCCAGAGGAATCACAGGGCATGAAATTATCTAGGAAAAGTAGAAGATGAACTTGCTGGTGGGGTTGGCTTCACTCATAAACAATGCGAGACCTCAGGAGCACAAACTCCTGTCATGGGTTCTCATGGGAGAGGAAAACTGAGAGCTACAGTCTGTCGGTGCTCTTCTTGGCAGTTACAGAGGTGGTTATCAAAAGGCTGCCTTACCCCTCCTACCTTCTGACCAAGAACCTCTCTTGATTCTTATGATGTGAGTCTGCATCTCTTCTTTCATGGTGTACTTCTACATATTCCTGGGAAACAATCTGAATATTGAAGAAGATTGGAAGAATCCCTTTAAAACAGAAATTGTGAAGACTTACCTATGTTCTATTCTCAGATATCGGTATTTCATGGAAAAATCTGTAAGAGGCAAGTTGGAGTCGATAAAACATTCTCTTTTCTTTGTAGATACATATTTTGATTTTCTAGGATTTGCAGAGGGAACATAATATGTGATATTGTCTTCCCTCACCAGCTCCCTAGGTTTCTTTGCTGTCAGCACAGACATACATATACTTTGGAGATCCTGCCATTCTCCTTCCTCCCCATCCAAACAGGACAATTGGCTCCTCAGTAAGGAGTCCTAGGCCCAGGTACACAGAGAAGAAACAGACAGAAAGCCTAGGATTTGTACTGTTTGGGTATTTTTATAACCCCTATTTATTTTATGGTCACTATATATTAAAAACTATTTAGATAAAACAACAGTTTTTCTTTTCAGGTGCGGTGTATAAAAGACTACGGAGAATTTGAAGTTGATGATGGTACTTCAGTCCTATTAAAAAAAAATAGCCAGGTATTTCTCGTCTTGAGATACTTTAAATCTTATGAGTGTTGAATGATGGAAATGTTAGACTCAGTAGCAAAGTAAATGTTGCCTTGTGATGATTATTTATATCATAAGCATTATGCTTAGTATAAAACACCCTGTTTTGTCTGTTTTCTAAATATAAAGACTTGCATATACCAAGAAAAGGTTAATTTACTAGGTTATTGCTTGTATTTAACACTAAGCCTGTTCCTGGGAAATTATCACAATGGGCCTTATTCTAGGTAAGTGGGCTTATTCTAGTTCAGGGCCTATTAAATTGTTGAATTTAACTGCTTTTTTGAATTTATTAAAAAGGTGCTAAGCACTCATTTTCAGCTTGTAGGTCACCTTTCAAATCCCTGTTCTTTGGCAAATAGTGATATGGATCAAAAATTTCTAAGTATTTAACATATAAACATAACAGTTTAACAGAGAAAGACTGAAATTGTGGAGCTGTAATTTAAGCTAAATTTTTTCTTACAAAGAACCTCAATGTATTTATTTTCTTAGAAGTCTTCAAGTTCACATTAGATGAATTCACATTAGCTAGATTTATTTTTATCCTGTCTCAATTGTTTGTAGTCACATTAGCATAGGAGGAAGAATGACCTAATAAAAACTTTCTTTCCCATTTTGTTTTCAACCAGTTAGTATCTAATGACTTTGTGTCATTGATGTCTTTGTTTATGCCATTTACTGGTACCCTTTAAATAGTTTCCTAACACAAACGTTGAACATTCTAAAGACAGATTTTTCAAGGGACCCTAAAATCTTTGGTTGTTAGAGCAAAACTTTCCCTTCCAAGTATCCTCTTGGAAGTAGGATACTAATGAATAGAAAGCAGATGGTAAAGAAGTGCTCTCATAAAAATCTGTATTTCTGGAGGACACAGCAGGAAGCTGTGGTTCACAAGAACAAAGCTATCCTCATAAAGGAAGATAGAAGAAAATGGCATCTCAAACACTGTCATCCTGTGCATCTGTGTTTGAATTTCCTTCTCAAGCTCTTTGGCTGATCTCTCCACTAGAGTGCCCCTATGGGCTGGGGCAGGTGGAAACCAGTTGAGCCCCTCTCCCCGCCCCCCCCCCACCCCATGCTCCAGTGCTAGACAGTTGTCACTCTCTGGACCACCAGAAGCCTTCCCCTTGAGATGCTTTTAACTTGTCTCTCAGTAGTGCCCTACCCTCAACTGTAAAAGTAAAGGACAATTTTATATGCCTTTTACTTACTATATATTTATCTACTTCTAAAATGTCTAACCACATCTAAAGCCAATTTTCTATAGACTCTGGTGTAGATCATCCACATAATATAAAACAATAGGGAAGCATTTTTTTTAAACCATAGATTTCTTTATACTTGTCCATATGGCAAGCATGATTGTATTTGTCCAGAAATCAGAAACTCCTCTCCCTTTGTAGTAGGAATTGGAATAACTTAAACAAACAACTCAACATTTTTTTCCCCTTTTTTTACATTTTACATTCTTAAGGCATTTAAAAAATTCATTTAACAAGTTAGACAGCAGGGTGTCTTCCTGACTGGTCGGGAGGGATTTATTTGGTCGTGGGCCCCTGGATAGGCCGCAAGCTGGTGAGGAAGGCCCATCAGGGGGGCAGGGCTGTGGAAGCACAGCCCGCTCCCCAAACTAGTGTGATAATCCCTCGTTATTATTGTAATATCGTTATTATCGTAATAATCCTGTGGTCATTTTCTAAGATGATTTGCTCTGAACTTCCTAACATAGCATTTTTAGTTTTTACCCAAGTAGGTTTGTCTTTTGAGATTTCTTTGGTCCTCTGTGAGCCTGGGAAGTTTTCCTGCCTTGCTGCCTGCACCTCCCCACCCCAGACTTCAGTAAACACTCCATTTTAAGACAGGGAGACTCCTTTCGGCCTCAGAACGAGAGTGGTTTCCTCTCGGAGGACACTCAGGGTGAGCCTTAGCTGGGTCCCAGTGTCTTCACACACGTGTGAACAGCACCCACGCTGCAGATTACAGATACTTTTAATCCTTGAAAAATTCAGGAGGAAAGAGGCCACTGCTGTTATAAGAATAAATGTTCAGACTCAATACTAGAGAAGCTTAATTGAGAAGATGCTCCTTTCGGTGGTCTTCCCGACAGGCTGTCGTCCCACTTGTGGTCCACTGCTGCAGAATCCCACCCCTGAGTTTTCTGTGCGTAAATCCCAAAGTGCAGACACCGAGCAGAATTCCTGCTGGAATGCAGAAGTCTTCAGTTAAGTTTAACTGAAGCAAACTATGAATTTATTTATAAAAATCAGAATTCAGTACAGTTTTAAGTGGCTTCAATTTCAGTTGACTAAAATAGCAAATGTACTTAAGTTTAGCTTTTAGCTACTTAGCTGCTTGAAAAGTATGTAATTGGTTGCTGCTTTTTAATGATGCAAAATGTAACTTTAAATTCTTTTCCAATTGTTTATCTTCCTCTCTCCCCCATGTCCCCTCAGCACTTCTTGCCCCGGTGGAAGTGTGAGCAGCTGGTTAGACAGGGCGTTCTGGAGCACGTGCTGTCCTGACGTTGTGCTGAGGCCCCGCCAGGCTGCCCTGTGGTACGAGGGAGGCCACACCACAGAAGAGTGTTACACGTCCTCTCCAGCCTCACCTCTTTGGTTTTAAAGGTCACAGACGTTCTTTACGATAACCAGGAGTATCTGGCTAAGGAGTGGGTTTGTTTTTCTTTTGTACAGGATTCATCCTCCTCTTTGTAATAAACTGTAAGCTGTTATCTATAATTACAACATGCCTACAGTTACTACAGTGGTTTTTTTGACAATGTTTTTTTTTAATGAAAGTAAACATTTGTTAACATTTGATTTTTCTTTTTTCCCCCGGTAACGACTATTTTTTCAGTGAACCTTTCTAGCCCATGGTATAGGATACTGTCTTAAAGTACAAATCCAAGGAAGGTAATACCTTTCCTAAGTTACAAAACTTTGGCAAATTAATACAGTACTCTTTAATATAATAAAATCCTTTTTTGTTGTTGCCGGGGTCATGTGTTACTTTAGTGATAATTTTCACTCCAAAAATGTCATTTAAGTACCAAAACACTGTGCTTTATAATGGTGCCTTATAGCAGAACAAGTTATTTTATACAAATTAATGTCTTTTAAAACTATGTAATTTCTCCTTTTATTTATTTATTTATTTATTTATTTATTTATTTATTTGGAGGGGGGAGGGGAGGGGAGAAGCAGAAGGAGAGGGAGAGAGAGATAATCTCTCCACATTGTATTTGTCCAGAAACCAGATAATCTCTCCAGCACGGAGCCTGACATGAGGCTTGAACTCTCGACCCTGGGATCCTGACCTGAACTGAAATCAAGAGTTGGACACTTAACTGACTGAGCCAGCCAGGTGCCCCTGTAATTTCTCCTTTTAAAGAGCATTCCCTCAGGGGCTCCTGGCTGGCTCAGTTGGAAGAGCATGTAACTCATGATCTCAGGGTTGTGAGTTGGAGCCTCACATTGGGTATAGAAGTTAAACTGAAATAAAACTTAAAAAAAAAAAAAAAATAAAGAGCATTCCCTCATACAAGTTTGTGAAGTTTACCACAGCAGGGTAATTGTATGTGTTCAGGTGGCTCTGCTTTGGAAGAATTCCAATGCATGACAAGTTTTAAAATTCTACCTTAAAGGAGATTATTATGCCAATATGATTTCCAAGTACTTTTCAAAAATTATGAAATTTTTGCATAAATACTGGAATCCTCAAAATTAGGTGGTCATTTCAAACACTACTACTTTCAGATGGTCCCTTTTATTTAGAAACCCTGTACCTCTTTGGTTTAATGAAAAGTCACATAGCTTTTCTTTAGTTTATTTAAAAAGAAACTCTGCCTAAAATATAGTTGTTTTTTTAAAGATTTATTTATTTCAGAGAGAGAGCCAGTGAGTGTGGGGGAGGGGAGGGGCAGAGGTAGAATCCCAAGCAGACTCCCCACTGAGTGGGAGCCCAATGGGGAGCTCAAGCCCACAACCCTGAGATCATGACCTGAGCCAAGATCAAAGTCAGACACTTAACTGACTGAGCTACCCAGGTGCCCCTCAGCATTTAATTTTTGTATTAACCATTCCATTGCTTCTCAGCCCAGTTTTATTAGCAGTCGAAGATACTGTACTTGCCATCAGTCCTTCAAGGTAACTGCTTAGACTGACTCCTTTCACAATAATTATTTCTTGAGTCAAAACGGTTTTTTCTGTGTCCTGAGGATGTGGTTTTTATGTGAGTTTCAACTACTGAAACTGTATTTATAAATAAAATATTAGTAGATTCAAGTTCCATTGTTTTCTCTGTAGGATCAAGTACAGAATGTTCTTGTACCTGTGTTTTAGTTCTTGCTGCATCCAATAAGAGATTTCACAAAGGAAGGCAGTCCTGTCTGTGCTGAGAAGTGTACCGCTGTGCAACTTTCCAGGGGGATCTATAAGTCTATCCAATCAATCAACTCCAACCACACTTGGAGGGTTTGGGTATTTCTGCATTGCAGCTGTTGTAACAGTTTCCCATGGGTGGTCAAAGATGCTCTCTGAAGTCCAGATCTTCATGGTGCTCGCAGCCAGCCCGATGTCTATGCAGCGCTGGGGGAAAAGGCGGCCAAAAAGTTACACTTGACCCCACCCCGTCCCCAGCCGCCCTGCTGCCATTTGAATTTCTTTTAAATAATCTCTTGCTGCATAGTGAGAAGGTAGGTCTCCACATCTTGTGTTGTTTCTGGTGGTGTGTCTTGGGCAAGCCCAGAAGCTGGGTTTCTGGGATACACATTTCCAAATCACACGGGCAGGTGGAAATGATGGTCTGTCCAGATTTTCAGTGTATGTAACGTTTAATGACAGTAATTTATCATCTGGCTGTTTGGGAAGGCAGAAAGGAAGAATACTGGATTTTGCCTATTTCCAACAGCAATTGATCTGGCTCTTGCCTGCCTGTGAGCTTGTGGGGAACGAGCCAGTATCACCACTTGGGAGAGGGGACTAGAAACTGGGGCTAGAACAGGAACTTTGTGCAGTTTCCCCCCAGATTCACACTGACTGAAAAGACACATGAAGCTGGTCAGTGAAGCGGAGGGCACCCTGTGTTGTCTGATGAACTCTGGATGGTATGGGCTGGAGAGGCACAGAGCACTCTTGCCTGGTGGGCAGTGGCCTTTCCCCACCAGTCCTCTCCACGACCACTACAGTAATCTGTAAGAAGCATTCAAATTTAAAAGTCCAGATAAGGGGCGCCTGGGTGGCTCAGTTGGTTAAGCGACTGCCTTCGGCTCAGGTCATGATCCTGGAGTCCCAGGATCGAGTCCCGCATCGGGCTCCCTGCTCGGCAGGGAGTCTGCTTCTCCCTCTGACCCTCCTCCCTCTCATGCTCTCTGTCTCTCATTCTCTCTCTCTCAAATAAATAAATAAAATCTTGGGGCGCCTGGGTGGCTCTGTTGGTTAAGCGACTGCCTTCGGCTCAGGTCATGATCCCAGGGTCCTGGGATCGAGTCCCGCATTGGGCTCCCTGCTCAGTGGGGAGTCTGCTTCTCCCTCTGACCCCCCCCCCCATGTGCTCTCTCTCTCTCATTCTCTCTCTCTCAAATAAATAAAATCTTTAAAATAAATAAATAAATAAATAAATAAATAAATAAAATCTTAAAAAAAAAAAGTCCAGATAAGCCCACGACCTGGCACATATTAAGTGTGCAGTTTCATTTTTACATAGGGGAAATGTTTCTGGCCAAAATTATATTCAAGAAATCAAGTTATAGAAAAACTTCACTTGGGATATGGATCTGTATGTTTTCATACCTACTTTGATCCGTAGACTGCCCTTTACAGATTATTTTCATTATTGGAAAAAATTTCTCAATAGTTTTTGTAGCCAGATCAGATTTTCATCTAAATCTCTGCAGATAAACAATAAGGATATTTTCCCTAGCGAATGGGATGGATGATGTTGATACTTTAACTGTGGGTCTGTAGTCACCTCCCTCGTTCTACGTCCAGAGCACACGAAAGCATGCAGCCAGGTGAGGCCTGCGGTCCACGTGAGTCCCCTGTGAGGATGAGCGGCTGTGAAGGATATTGCTGTGTTGCCAGCCCACCAGCATTCCCAAACTTACATTATATGATATACTTTTGTATTTAATTTCCCAAATAAAATAATAAGTATATTCCTTATTTGAGATGAAGAGCTGGAAATCTGAGATTTTGGATGTTGTATTGACTTATACTGATTGCCTATTTAGAATTGTGGTTAGAATTTTAAACATGTTTTTTCTTATGATGGTAATATATATGCAGTTAGAAAAAAACAATGTAGGAAGTAAAGGTAAGTGCCCCCTTCCCACCACCAGTGTGCTCACTGCTAACTGATCATACACAAAATCCAATCACATTTCTTTCTAAGTGGTTTCCCAGTTATTTTCTAGATTTTGTTCCTAATGTGAATGCAGTCTTTTTTCTATTTTATTTCCTAACTAGCTTTGGCTGATACATGTAAAGAGCTGCAAATCATGATGACTTGGCCATATTCTAATATTTATATAACCTCATTGTTTCATTTTGATTTTGCTGACCATGTGAACACACACAGAAAAGGTGGGTGTCTGCAAGCCAAGGGGAGAGGTCCTTGAAAAAACAAGAACAACCTGAGTTCCAGCCTCCAGGATTGCAAGAAAATAAATTTCTGTTCCAGCCACCCAGTCTGTGATTTTGTTATGGCAGCCCTAGCAAACCAATACAGACTGTTAAATACTTTTTCTTAAAAATCTAATTCCCTGTTGATGGACACTAAATTGTTTCCAGCCTTTTGCTACTACAGACAAAGCTAATGTGAGTAACCTGGTACATATATCATTTTATACATAATGCAACTTTATAAATAGGATAATTACAATTTTTATTGTTCTTGCCAAAATACATAGGAATTATAATAATTTGCATTACCATCAGAAATGAATGATAGTAACTATGTCCTCCCCCCCCTCCATCCTTGCTAATAGTGCGTTCTTTCCAGTTTTTGGCTATTAACAAAAAAAATATGCCAGGAACATCTGCATACAAGTCTTTAATGGACATATATTTTCTTTTGGGCAAATGACTAGGAGTAGAAGTTACATATATGTTTAACATTTTTAAAAGATTTTTTAAAAATTTATTTGAGAGAGCACGAGCAGAGGCAAGGGGCAGAGTGAGAGGGAGAAGCAGACTTCCCACAGGGAGCTCAATGTGGGGCTTGATCCCAGGACACCCAGATCATGACCTGAGCTGAAGGCAGACACTTAACCAACTGAGCCACCCAGGCATCCCTATATATGTTTAACTTTTTAAGAAACTGCTAAACTGTCTTCCAAGGTGGTTGTGCATTTTGAATTCACACCAGCAACGTATGAGTTCTTGTTCTTCCACATCCTAGCTAACACTTGGTATTGGTTAGTCTTTTTAATTTTAGCCATTCTACTAGTGTGTCATGTGTAACGCCATCTTGTTGAGGTTTTAATTTGCATTTCCCTAATGATTAATGATGTTGACTATCTTTACATGTGATTATTTGGAATCTATCTTTGGTGAATTTTCCAAAAGTATGTCTTTTTAAAAAAATCTGTGTTGTTTTCTTAAGAGTTTTGAGAGTTCTTTATATATTCTGCATATAAGTCCTGTATGAGATGTACGCTTTGCAAATATTATTTCCCAGTTTCTGGCTTGTCTTTTCATTTAACAGTATATTTTAAAGAGCAAACATTTTAGTTTTGATAAAAATCTGACGTATTCATTTGTTCTTTTATGCTTTTTTTTTTAAAAGATTTTATTTATTTATTTGAGAGAGAGAGAATGAGAGACAGAGAGCACGAGAGGGAAGAGGGTCAGAGGGAGAAGGAGACTCCCCGCCGAGCAGGGAGCCCGATGTGGGACTCGATCCCGGGACTCCAGGATCATGACCTGAGCCGAAGGCAGTCGCTTAACCAACTGAGCCACCCAGGCGCCCCTTCTTTTATGCTTTTGGTGTCATAGCTAAAAAATCTTGTCCCAGCCCAAGGTAACAAGGATTTTTTCCTTTATCTAGAAGTATTATAGTTTTAGGCTTACCCTTAGGTCTAGGATCCATTTTGAGTTAATTTTCATATATGGTACAAGGTATGGACCCAAGGTTACTTTGGGCAGGGGAAAGTGGAAGCATGTGGCCATCCTCTTCTAGCACCACTTGTTGAAAAGGCTATCCTTTCTCCACTGTAAACAACAACAACAAAATGTATACGTGTGTGCTTATTTCTGGACTCTGTTCTAACGATCTATTTTTCTATACTGACACCAATACCCATGCTATTTTTATGTAGTGTATGTAACTCTTATAATAATTCCTCAAATAGTGTTAATGGTCCAAATTTCTTCTTTTTCGTATTTGTCTTAGGTTTGTGAAGTCTTTTGCTTTTCATATGAAATTTAGGATCAATTTCTGCCAAAATCAAACCTATTATTGTAATTGAGACTGCACTAGATCTGTGTATCAATTTGGGGAGAACTGACATCTTAACAATATTGAAGATATTCTGGCCCATAAACAAAGTTCATCCTCCCATTTATAAATAAATCAATCTTAAAAAAAAAGTTTCAGGGGCACCTGGGTGGCTCAGTTGGTTAAGCATCTGCCTTTGGCTCAGGTCATGATCTCAGGGTCCTGGGATTGAGCCATGCACTGGGCTCTCTGCTCAGCGGGGAGTCTGCTTCTCCCTCTTCCTCCTGTGCTCTTTCCCTCTCCCACTGTCTCTCAAATAAATAAATAAATAAATAAATAAATAAATAAATAAATAAAATCCTTAAAAAAAATTGTCTACATCTATGGTCATGTTTTCGGTGAATAGAGTTTTACTCCTTTCTTTCCAACCTGGATGCCTTGTCTTTCTCTTTCTTGCCTGACTGCACTTGTCTCTAGTACCTACAGGAGAGTACTAGATAAAAGTGGTCAGAAGTCCGCGTCTTGTGTCTGATCTTAGGAGGAAAGCATTCCATCTTTTATATTAACTATATATATATTAACTATAACTTCAGCTGAGTTTTTTGTAGATGCCCATTATCAGGTTAAGGAAACCCCTTTCTATTTCTAGTTCCCTGTGAGTTTCTATCAGGAACGGATGTTGGGTTTTGTCATATCCACTTTATGCATCTATTGAGATGATCATTTTTTTTGTCTTTTAATTTGTTAATATGGTGAATTTCAGTGGCTGATTGATTTTCCAATGTTAAACCAACTGTGCACTCCTAGCATAAGCCCCAATTGGTCATGATGCACTGATACTTTTTTGTTGGATTTGATTTGCTAAAATATTGTTGAGAATTTTTCCATCTGTGTTCATGATGGATATTGGTTTGTAGTATTCTTGTCATGTCAGAAGACCACGTAACCCTGTCAGAGAAAGAGTTGGGAAATACTAGCTTCAATTTTTTGGAAGAGTTTGTACAGACTTCGTATTATTAGTTCCTTCTTAAATGTTCAGTAGAATTCATGTTTAAAACATCTGGGCCTGGAGTTTCTTTGTGGGAAGGTTCAATTTCTTTTATATAGAGCTGCTTCTTCCTCCAGGATAAGCTTTGGTATTTTTTGTCCTCTGCATTTTGTCTAAGTTGTTGAAGTTATTGGCATAATGTTGTTCATAATATTGCCTTATGTTTTTTGTAGATTCTGCAGTGATGTCACCTCCCTGATTCCTGATATTGGTAAATTTTTTTTTCTCCTTTATCCCGATCATTCTGGCTAGAGGTTTATCAACTTTATCGATGTTATCAAAGAACCAACCTTTGGTTTCATTGGCTTTTTTTTTTTTCCTGTTTTCTATTGCAGGAGTCAACAAACTTTTCCTGTATTTTAGACTTTGTGGGCCACACGGTTTCTGATGCTGAGCACAAAAGCAGGTGTAGTTTGCTGTGCCAAACTATTTACAAAACAGGCCCCAGGGCTAAGCTTAATTCCTAGCATGAGGGTTCCTGTTCTTCTATTCCTTGACTTCTACTGTGATCTTCATTTTTTCCTTTCTTCTTCTTACTTTGGGTTTCATTTGCTCTTGTTTTTCTAGTTATTTAAGGTGGAAGCTCAGGTCATTGATTTGAGACCTTTTTTCTAATACAGGAATTTAGCGCTATGAATCTTCCCCTAAGTAATGCTTTAGCTCCACCCCAAAATTTGGCATACTGTATTTTCATTTTTATTCAATTCAAAATATTTTCTAATTTCTCCTCTGATGGTGCATGGGTTATTTAACAGTGTATTATTGTTTCCAATGGGGGGATTTCCCAAATAATCATTCTGGTCTCGATTCCTAATTTAATTCCTTTGTGGTCAGAGAATATACTTTGTATGACTTAAATACTTTTGATTTTTTTGCGGCTTTTTCCAAGTTCCCAGATTATGATCTTTTTCTTTTTAAAGATTCTATTTACTTGACAGAGAGAGACACAGCGAGAGAGGGAACACAAGCAGGGGGAGGGGGAGACGGAGAAACAGGCCTCCCGGTGAGCAGGAGCCTGATGTGGGGATCGATCCCAGGACCCCGGAATCACGACTCAAGCCGAAGGCAGACGCTCAACGACCGAGCCACCCAGGCGCCCCCCCCCCCTTTTTTTTAAGATTTTATTTGACAGGGGTGCCTGGGTGGCTCAGTTGGTTGGGCGACTGCCTTCGGCTCGGGTCATGATCCTGGAGTCCCGGGATCGAGTCCCACATCGGGCTCTCTGCTCAGCAGGGGGTCTGCTTCTCCCTCTGACCCTCTTCCCTCTTGTGCTGTCTCTTATTCTCTCTCTCTCAAATAAATAAATAAAATCTTTAAAAAAAAATTTTATTTGACAGACAGCGAGAGAGGGAACACAAGCAGGGGGAGTGGGAGAGGGAGAAGCAGGCTTCCCGCGGAGCCGGGAGCCCGATGTGGGGCTCGATTCCAGGACGCTGGGATCATGACCTGAGCCAAGGGCAGACACTCAACAACTGAGCCACCCAGGCGCCCCGAATATGGTCTATCTTGGTAAATGTTCAGGTGCACTTCAGCTGTTGTTGGGTTCTATAAATGTCAGTTGTTTGGTAGTGTTGTTCAGGACTACTAGATCCAATCTCCTTATTACTCTAGTCCCAGCCAGAAGCCCATAGTGAACGAAGAAGTGTGCCCTTTGATGAGTTTTGACAAACGTATACAACCATGTAACCTAAACTTTATTGAGACTGTTTTAATAACTAGTAGAACTAGTTCATAGTCATTGCTCTTCTTTTTTCAGTTTTCCCTATTATTCGCTTATCTGGCTGTACATGTAAACTTTAGACCTGACTCTGGGACAAGGGGTCACCTGGGGCAGGGAACACCCACTTGTATTTTTATTGGGGCTATATTACATTAATCAGTTAATTGAGAAGAACTAACTTTATGCTGTTGAATCTCCTATCCAAGAACTGATCTTTCCATCTATTCCAGTCTTTTTTTTAGGTGGCTCCATGCCCAACGTGGGGCTTGAATTCACAACCCCTAAATCAAGAGTTGTATGCTTTACTGACTGAGCCAGCCAGGCGCCCCTATTCCAGTCTTTTGTGTCTTTCCATAGTGCTTTAAGGTTGTTCTTATATAAGCACATATAGTAAATGTACAGACAGAAGGGGATGGAGTGCAGCAGCTTCAGGGTAGTGGCTGCCTCCAGGAAGGGGAAGGAGGTTGAGAGCAACAGAATAGGGTCTACACCTCTATCTAATACATCTAATTGATGGGCACAGGAGTGTTTCTCATAAAACTGTTTTTCTATTTGTTTGAAATATTTAATTAAAAAAAGTTAAACTTAGGGGCGCCTAGGTGACTCAGTCATTTAAGCGACTGCCTTCAGCTCAGATCATTGATCGTCCCAGGGTCCTGGGATTGAGCCCTGTGCCGGGCTCCCTGCTTAGTGGGGAGCCTGCGTCTCCCTCTCCCTCTGCTGCTCCCCCTGCTTGTGCTGTCAAATAAATAAAATCTTAAAAAAAAAAGTTAAACCTAGAAGTTAAAACAATTTTAATAGAAAAGAGTTTTTGTAAATACAGTGACTCTTCATAGTACAGTAGTTTATTCTCATAAACCAAATGACCATACTTATATATATATTTTGGATATAAAACTATAGTTCTTTTTTCTTTACATATAATACAATTTCCAGTGTGATGACATTTCATTGAGGAAAAGATTGCATTCGCAATAAATACTATCATCCCTGAGTCCACAGACTTAAAATAAGCACTCCCCAGACATCTTCCTGTGGTGGAGCAGGGTTGACAGGCACAGTGAGTAGTCTTTCTAGAATGTCTGTATAGACCCATACTGAGAATGCTAATGATCTGAACCCAAAGCAGTAACAGTGAAAGGGTGAAACTGTCCAGAGCACTTATTTTTCATTTTACTCTCTGCAGCCAAGGTCAAAAGTACAACACTGAAATTGATTTTACCATTTTCTTTTAGTCTTTCTTCACTGAAAGCAGCCATAATCTGTTTCACCCATTGGTAGCAAAACTGGGAATTTTACCTAGAGAAATTACCCAGGACCACTAATAAAAATGTCGTCTTTTCCAGCATGTCTATTTTCTGAGCATCTGGCACAACAGACATTTTTAAATATGTGTGAGGTGAACAAAGAAGAATCAGAAACCTCCTATGCCGGGGCCATGGCCAATGAACCCTAGAAAATTATGGCACCACGGTGGCTTAATTTTAAAAGATGTTCTTTCGAAATGAATTCCAGGAAAACAAGCAGCCTTCACACAGAGAGGGAAGCTGAAGCGATCTTACTGAGGAGTCTGTTGAGAGCTCTAACTTTTTCTTCCAAGATGCGGTTTTTCTTCTCGGCACCTCGCAGCTTCTCTTCGGTGACCTGAAATGCTTTCGTCAGGTGAGCATTTTCCACATAGAGCTCCTTGAGCAGCAAATCGGACTTTGTGTTCTTTTCAAACTAGAGAGGACAGAGAACCACACTTTCCTGTGACTCTCGTGCACAAATGCTGCATTATAGCTTGGCCCTCCCACCCTTTCATGTGTTCAGACCACAGATTCGGGGCTCTTACACATCTGAGACAAACCCTGGGTGGAATGACAATTTTTGTTACCCTGGCATGAAAGAGGAAATTGAGAAGCTGATGAATTATGTGGTAGAGAAAACTGAAGTCGAGTTTGTGAGAGTAGATTTTACCATGAAATGAAGATATAAAAAGGCTACAATCACCAACCTCAACAAGGACGATCCAGCGTAATGGAAAACATGTCATTCTGGTTCATTTCCGTGTGTTCTGCTGACCCACCGTGTCACCCAGGACTTACCTCAGCACCGCGTCCACCCTCGAAGCCCTGGGTGCATGGGCTGGGTCACCACACACCTCAGCCACAGCAATGGGGACACAAGGCCACTCTAGCTACAAAGGCACAGGGGGCCTGGCCTTGGGCTTTGAAAGTCAAAACTGCATTCATTCACTGAACAAGTAGTGCCAGGGCCTCACAAGGGCCCTGCTCTCAGGAGTCCGTACTCTGATGGAAGCAGGCAGGCCAGAAACAAACATGTGGTGTGGAGGCATGACAAGTGCTAAGAGAAAACCGTGTGAAACCAAACCCAAGTCTGCCCGCCCGATGCGCAGAGACCTTGACCTTGGCTGCAGAGAGTAAAATGAAAAATAAGTGCAGTCCAAATGGAGTGCGTGGCGAGGAAAGGAGAGAGACGGGAGGGCAAGACTGGAATCTGTCTCCCCCAAGGAGAGGAGTCCAGACATGTTTACAGGCAAACAAAAAAGGTCAGGGTGAAAAGTTATAGCTGCATTTGGCAGTCCTATGGTTTCCCTGGGAGGGGACAGGCAGCTGAGGAGGGAGTTCCTACTTTTGTTGGGGTGAACAGGGAAGGCTTCTCTGTTGACACGTGAACAGAAATCTGAATAAGGCAGGGAGAGTGCTGAGGCTGTCCGGGCAAAGGGAGGAGCAGGTGCAAAGGCCTGGAGGTCTTTGGGGGTGGCAGGAATGGCCAGAGGCCTGTGGCTGGGGGGGCACAGCGGTGGGAGGCCCACTGGGTGGTGGTTAGAGCTGCCACACTGACTGCACAGGCACTGAGGGGAGGGGGCTAGAGCCTGCAGAGCCTTGGAGGCCCCTAGAGGAGCTCTGCCTTGTACTCTGAGGGCTGTGGCAGGCTTGGAGGGGAGAGGGGCCGGCACCTCAGTCACACTGGGAAAGCGCTGCTGCCACTCCTGTGCTGAGAACAGAGCACAGGAGGAAACAAGGACACCGCAGGGCTCAGAGGATGAAGGTGGGAGTGCTGGCAGGTGGGGCGAGAAGAGGCTGAGCTGACAGGCTCATTGGGGACACAGTGGGGGCATCCATCACAACCCCCCAAATCTGGACCTGAGCCAGTGGCATGGGGGAACACAAGGGAGGGCAGGTGAGAGTGTGCAGACAATCCTTCACAGGTACTTCTGTAAAGAGGAGCAGAGGCAGGGCCAGGGCTCCCTAAGCTTTGGGTTCAGGGGCTGAGGGCCCCTGAGAAGGGAGGGGCTGGGCACGGCGGTACACGCGCAGACACAGGCGGCTGGTTTGCTTGGCCAGAGCACAGCTAGTTCGGGGGGGGGGGGGGGGCATGGGGCTATGGACGGGACCTCACAAGGACAGGGGTGCAGGAGCCACAGGATTTCACCAGGACTGAGGATTTGCCAGACAAGAAGAAGCAAACTGAGGGTGCCTACAAGAGAATGACTGTAAGGTGAGGGGCAGGGGTCACTGAGAGTCTGTGACACTTGGCCAGGGAGTCCGTGGACGGCAGGGAGGAAGCTTCAAGGCCAGGAAGATGGTCAAGGAAGAGGGTGTGACTCCCCCCGGGACCTCCTACTTCCCAGGGAACAAGAGGTAGTGCAAATGTTTCATCCCATTTGGGCTTAGTTCAGGAACCCTCTAAACATACTTGATTACTGTAATAAAAATATTTCTACAGATTCTCACAATTTCTTCCAGCTCTGAATAGAACTCTTCTAGGAGTAGCTGGTGTTTGGCTAAGCCTTTTCTCCGTGTCTCCTGCCTGTTTCCAGCCTTGCCCCTGCCCCCCCACCCCAGCACCCTCTGTGCTGGCTGCTCAGCTGCCTGTTCTTACCAGTGGACTGTACTGGCTGAACTGGACTGTAAGCTTTCATCAGTCACAACAGCTCTGGCCTTTTTTTGGTCTTTGCTCCCTATAGCAGTCCAAATTTTTCCTTTCTCCCCCAGAGTGATTTATTTAAAAATATACAGATATCATGCTCTTGCTTAAAATCTTCTGGTGGCTTCTAACTGCAACTAAAATAAAAGCAAACTCCTGACCTTGAGGGAGTCCTGCCTACCCATCAGCTACAATAGACTCCCTGGAGGCCTGCTGACGTGCTGCGCTTGATCCCGTCTAAGGACACTGGCCTGCACTGCAACTCTGCCTGGATGCCCCTCCTCACTGGGGTTCTGGCATGTCCCCCAGAACACATGGAGACATGAGGGTACCTTTTTATGGCTGTCCCATTGACTGGAGGTGCTACAGGCATTCAGCCCTACACTGCAAAGGAAGTCCCACCCAATGACGCCCGTCACTGACCTGCTCTTTCAGCTCGGCCACTTTTTCTTGTAGGAGCATTTCCACATTCTTCAGAACCATTCCCACCTCTTCTACCTGTTCTTGGGTGTCTTTAAGCTCTTTTTCATGTTCTTCCTGCCACAAAAGGTTATGCGCCAATAGTTTACATTTCAAAAAGAATCGTTATCAGGCTTACTTACTTCAGAATGGAAATTAGCTAAAATGTACAAATCTGGGAGTGACTGGAGATAACCCTTCATCTGCAGAGAGAAACAAAGAATGTTCTACCACAAGCCAAAAGCTGACACCACTCTTTGTAGTTCAAGGAGAATTAGTGGCCTGCTTTCCTGAGAATTGAATCATAAAAATGATTCCAAAGTGTGTTTCCTCAAATGTGTTACTGAATATTTTGAAAGGACTTCTGATTAAATTTCTTTGTGTTGTCAGTATTCTATCATGGCCAAGCTTATCTCCTGCTTAACATTTTTGCACAAGGCTGAAAGATTATTCTTCAATAGAATTTATGCTTCACAAACATTGAATCTTACCCCACCTTTCGAGTCTTGCTCTAATTTCTTCCTCATGGAGCCCCCCCGCCCCATGACCTCGGGCTCCTACCTCCACACCCTCTCCCACCCAATGTTTCCTCATGAACGCACTGTGACATTTCAGGAGGGAGTTTTCTCAGCCTTTTAAACACCAACATAGGGTGCACACAGGCCAGACTATTCGAGCACGCCAGAAGTGCTAACTGGCAGATGCCCTACACTAATGCTCTGAGGTGGGGACCACTGGCCTCCGACATTTACAGATGAGAAAAATGAAGTGAAGAGAGGTTAAGTAGCTGGCCAAGCTCACTCAGCTGGGAGATGGTGGAGCCTGAATCCCGACCTCTGCAGCCACAGTGTCCTGCTCCCTTTTAAGGCAGCAGCTCCGTTTCTAGGTCTCTAGATGCTTAGTGCAGTGCCTGGCGCACAGCCAGCGTCCCCATGTGTGTGCCATTCCACCCTGGCCTCTTGTCCCACCACCCTCCTCCTGCCTCCCTCTCACCCTCCTTAAACATGCCAAGTACAGGGGCGCCTGGGTGGCTCAGTCGTTAAGCGTCTGCCTTCAGCTCAGGTCATGATCGCAGTGTCCTGGGATGGAGTCCCGCATCAGGTTCCCTGCTCCGCGGGAAGCCTGCTTCTCCCTCTCCCACTCCCCCTGCTTGTGTTCCTGCTCTCGCTATCTCTCTCTCTCTGTCAAATAAATAAATAAAATCTTAAAAAAAAAAAAAATATGCCAGTACATACCCACCTCAGGGCCTCGGCATATGTTGCTCCTGCTACCTCTCAAGCACCCTCCCCAGGTAAGTAGAAGCCTTGCTTCCTCAACTCCTTCAGGTCTTGGCTCAAGTAACACATTGGGGAGAACTTCTCTGGCCCCCTATTTTAACTACAAAGCATCCCACTCCATAGCACTCATCAACTCACCACCATCTGACATGCTATCCTCATGACTCAGGTTTTCATTTCTCTCCCCCCATCCCACCACCAGAACGTAGGCTCCAGGAGGGCACGGGCTTTTGCCGTGTGTGTTCATTTCTGTATCTCCGACACCTAGATCGGTGTGCACCCAATAAATGACTTCTGCAGTCCTTGTGTGCCTGTGGGTAGGTTTTTTTCATTCTGCAAAACGGTTTAAGATTCTTTTTACATCAGATGCATCATTTGGAAACTGGCCGTGTTCATGTAAAAATCCAGTTTCCGGCTTTCCTTTGAAATCAGGAGAACTCCCACAGGGCTCCACGGGTGGGACCGTCGCCCCCAGCTTCACTCATGGCCTCAGCATCACCGCACTTCTGGCCCCGGGCACAGCTCGAGCGTGTGGTCATGTGGCCTACCACAGACGCCCTCAGCCCCCCTGCTGGAGAGACCTTTCAGGTCAGCTGGCTCATCATTCCCTGAGTGGGTGGGTGCCGCCCCTCCCCGATCCATCTTTGGCGACGATAGAGTCCCGCACTGTTCAGAGTGAAAATCGGGATCCTGGGGCTGCTGTACGACCAGACCGCTAGGAGCTGGGAGGGCAGTTTTCAGCCACGTGACCAGTGATGCAACCTCACCACCGCCATCACCATCAGCAGGGCCTCGGGGCCCTTGCCCCCACTCACCCACTGTGTTTCCAGCTGCCTCCCCTTCTCCTCCTGGAGAAGGCACTCCTTGTGGAGCCGCCGAGCTGCCTGCCGTTCCTCTTCCAGCAGCTGCTGCAGCTCGTCCACAAGGTCCCGAGGCACCAGCCACTGCATCCGCTCCTGCAGCCGATGAACCTCCTCGGAGTGCTGGGACTGTGTCAGCCTCAGCCCCAGGCTGGCTCTGTGCAGCTGCCCCGGGAGAGAAGGCCATGCCAGGGCTGGTGTGACTGCTGAGCGCTACAGGGTCATTACCAGACACACAAGACTCCATGCCTACAGAGAGCCTACAACTGGAAGCACACACAAGGCACCCACCCTCCTCTGGTCCCTCCATCTGCAGCTAAATGCAGGGCTCATGAAGAATGCATTCGTTTGAATTCTGACAGCCAAATTCCTGTGTGGCCAGAGCTTCTGCACAGAGACAGTCAGGAAGACTCGGGTCTGTATCCTCAAAGTGGTGATGATGAGCTTCCCATTGCACCCAAGGGAGAATCGTGCTATATTCTGTCGGGTTTACCCTTCAGCAGACTTCAGAGAGTCCAAGTAACTACTGCAACCCACGCAGACCATGCGTGGTGATTTTCCTCAAAGCGGAGAGCTCACACTCCTGAGACAGCCGAGGCCAGGGCCACAGAAGGCAAAGGAGCACACGATGAAGGCGAAAGGGACCCTGCCAGCGAGTGCAGAAACACCCCAGCAACCTGCTCCCCAACCACAGAGGATGGCAAGATTTCACTGGAGTTGTGTGGGACCATTAGTACTGAACTGTGCGTAATGTGGCCAATCCTTTTATTAAACACCATTTAAATCACTTTGATTCTGGAGGCTTCACCTAGAATACCCAGAATTTCCTTGGCACCCTAACTAGCCATGTCAGCCCTCACACACCTCTGAGGCCCCACAGATGGGAGAGGGAAGTGGCTCCGTCAAAGGTCACACTTAGGGCAAGACTGAGGTGGGGTCAGAGAGATGGGGAGGGTGGCAGCTATGGCAACTCAAGGGCAAGAGCAAGGTTGCAGGCCTCAGGTCACTGTGTCCCCTTGTGTCTCTGAGGGGCCGTCTCGGGGGGCCACGTCATCACTGTAACGTGTGGCTATTCTTAGGACAGGGGTCATCCCAGAGAAACACACCCCCAGTTTCCAGAATAGCTACCATGCTCTTTCGGGAGAGTGCAATATAATGATTTATAAGATCAGATGACCAAAATACATTTCTCAGAGATACCTGATCCTGAAAATGCTTCAGAGGCAGAGAGTTGAAATAGGTGTCTTGTTATTAATGAAGGTGATTTTTGGATAGCACCCGAGGGGGGCGGGGGAGCTGGCTGCCAGGAGGGCCAACCACAGGCGTTAAGGGTTGGAATTTTTAGTCCCACCCCCACCTCCCTAGAGGGAAGAGGGGCTGGAGGTTGAAACAGCCAATGGCCAATGACTTGGTCAATCACAATTGCGTAATGAAGCCTCCAGAAAAACCCAAGAGGGCAGGCATCTGGTCCCTTTTCTGGAGATCTTCCATGCTTGGGGAATCAGAACACTTCCATGTGCCACCAGGCAGGGCTCAGGCTCCATAAGGACAGATGTTTGGGACCTTACCCTATGTATCCTCTTCCTCCGGCTATTGATTTGTTTCCTTTATCATATCCTTTAATGAACTGGTAAGTGTTAGGTGTCTCCCTGATTTCTGTGACCACGCTAGCAAATTAGTCAAACCTCAGGAGGAGGTGGTTGAAACCTCCAATCTGTAGCTGGCTGGTCAGAAGGTAACAGGTAACAGCCTGGGCCTGGGGCTGGCCTCTGAGGTGGGGCTGGGGGTGGGCAGTCTTGTAGGACTAAACCCTTCACCTGTGGGGTCTGATGCTGTCTCCAGGCATAGTGTCATAACAGAACTGAATTCTCAGACACCCTGCTGGTGTCTGATAATTGTGTGCTGTGTCTGGGGAGCCCCCTACACAATGTTGGAATCAGGTCTGGAAACCCTGAGAGAGAGGAACAGAGAGGGGAGAACCAGTTCGAAAACACAACCCTACAAATGTAGCCTCCTCCTGACTTTCATGCTTCAGTGATCCTGCAAACACCCAAGCCGGAAGCTGAGCCCCAGCCCAGGCCCTAGTGACACCATGTCAGAGTGCCCACCCATCCTAAAGGTGCTCCTGCTCTCTAACAGCACTCCCCAACGCCCTGATGCCGCTCTTTCTTAAAATACTCTGTTCCCATGCCCCTCGCGGACACCCACTATAGCCACCCCTCTGCTCTGAACCCTGGGGCCGGGTACAAGCTCCTGTGCGAAGGCCACTGTCTGGCCCAGCGTGAGGTCTCTGTGTCTGTGGCCCTACCCTGCAGCTCTCTGTGCAGGGCAAGCAGCCCGTAACACCCCCCGCCCCTCCCCCTGCTGTCTCCTGAGCCCCCTCATCTCCCTCCTCGTGGAAGTGAGACTCCAGGTGGAGCCCGGACCAGCTCTGGAGACCCCACCTCCACTATCACATAACAAGGAGAAAGATGTCTCCAGAGAGCACTGGGGCCGCCAACAGCCAGGAAATGAGGGTGGCTGTGTTCTGGGAGCTAGGGCATGGCAGTGAGCTGCCTTGGCCATCAGCTCTGCCCACCTGTGCTCGCAGGCTCTCTTCCTGCCCCTTGAGGAATGGGGGCTCTGCCCTCTTTGTGTTGAGAGGTGAGGACTGTGTCCTCCCCCATGGAGAGGTGGGCTCTGTGCTCTTCCCCTGAACCCAGGCTGGACCAATAGAATGTGGGGAATAATGTTCTGGAACGCCATGGCGCAGTCCTGAGGGGCCTGGGAGCTGTATGTGCTCCTCTGAGGGCGCCTGGTCGCCTCTCCTATCAGAGCTTCCCTGCTTCTGCTGCACTCAGAGAACCCCATGCCACCGAGAGGCCACGTGTGGGGGCTCCAGCTGACAGCACCCTGGGCCCCCAGGCACCCGCCAGCCCCACGTCCCAGCCCTGCGAGCCAAGAGCTCTCACACAGCGATCAGCTGTGCCTTCCGATGATGCCTGCCCCAACCCCACCGCACTGCAACAGCCCCCCCGAGACATCAAGTGAAGAGAGCCCACAGACCGTGAAGGAGAATGGTAAACAGTGCTACAAGCTGCCAAGTTTGGGGGTGGCACCAAGCCAAGATTCCCAGGGGCGTGTTATGCGTGCAGCATTCTGCTCCCCCACACCCCACTCTGAGCTGCACAAAGTCCTCTGCCAGGCGCTCTAGATGCTTCCCCCCAAGCTGCTCTACCTCCAGGCCCTCCTCCTCAGAACTACCCCCAAGTGTGCCAGTGACAACCCTGGCCCCTCCCTCAGGGCTCCACGCCACCCTTACCATGGCCTCCCCTTACTTCCCTCATGAGAACTTTCACTGTGGTTTTGGGGTCCTCTTCTGAACCACAAAGAAGGGGAAACCAGCTCATATCACAGAGGGACTGCCTAAGTAAGGGATCTTCTGCCCGTGGCAGTGGCTGCCTCCTAGCCTCCAAGGGCTCAAAACTGGGCAAAGCAACTTCTCAAGGTTCCTTACAGACTTAAAGACAGAGAAGGGATCCCCCAAATGCTCAGAAGGACCTCTGGGACAGTGCTTATTTGCAGTGGGAAGGTGAGAGCCCATAGAGCCCCCAAAAGCATGTCTTAAGGCCCTGAGTATGTTGGGGGGCATAGCAAGTCCAGCTGTAGGGCCCTTCCCACACCGTGCTTGGGAGGCTTCTCCCACAGCCCCTCTTTCCTTCCTGCAGCCCCCAGCCTTCTAAGTGCACCCCGCATCTAAGCACCAGCTCTTCCTCTCTTGTGTCCCTGCACCTCATGCTGTCCGGGTACCCCAAGGTCCTTGTTGGCCCATCCTGCTCACACTTACTTGTCCGAGACTACTAGCTCTCCACCTTCCTATCTCTGCACCTTGAGAACCTGGTGCACTGGATAAATGCTGGAGCAGGAGAGAAGGCAGAAGGCAGGAGCTCGACACGTGTGCGCAACTTCAGGGCTTCTGTGCACCAAGCTTGCCAACCACTGGGACTACTCCGCCCTGTGTCCTTGGATCTGACGCCACCCCCTACCTCAGAAGCCACCTGTCCCTCTCCTTTGCTCTTCTGTTTTGCAGATGCCACACCGAAAAGCACTGCTTACCAGCCTCCTTCCCTTGTGCATAAACCGAAACACAGCTCGGCCCACAGATGGCTCAGCCAACCCTGGACAAGGCTCTACTTCAGTCCTGGCCAGGCTCTGTCAGTGCCAAACCATGTTGACTTTCTTCCTGGCTGAGACCCAGCCACTGACCATTATGCACACCCACCTGGTCTTGACTTTCTTCAAGGGTCTCTCTCAGCTGTGACTGTGACAGTCTTAGGCTCTGACATTCCTGATTCTTGTGTTCGAGTTCAATTTCAAGTTTTTGGATGTGCTCACCCTGTTTTTAAAAAAATCAATTTCACAAGTATAAGAAATATCTCAGCATTGATATGTTTAATGTAGAAACTTCAGAAATGTACAGAAAAGCAAAGATTATGAAATTTAAATCACCCATCATCCTAGCAGCTGAGGACCACACCTGACACTGTGTGATCTCAGCCCTTCCTCCAAACGTACATTTCTAGCTATTAGTACAGCATTGTATCCTATGCTTTCCTCATTCTACCTTGAGCATTTCCCCATGACATTAATTATTATTTGAAACATGATTTTTAATGGCTATACCATAATTTACTGATTCATTCGATATTATTGATGATTTAAGCTGATTTGAATTGTTTTGCTATCATAAATACCACAGCAATGAAAATACTTCAGCTAAGTCTTTCCACAATGATCAGATAAAATTCCCATAAGCAAAATTATAAAATCAGAGCACACTGACATTCTTGAGGTACTTGATGTATATTTTGCCCAAATGTCCTCCTGAGAGGTCTACCAATTTACTCTCCTGGCATCAGGATTTAATTCCTTTCTGCTACTTTTTCTAGATATTGAGGATTTGCAAAAGCTGCTGAAGTCAAATTTTCCAAGGCACATACTTACTAAGTCTCTCTCTTTACCTGAGGGATGAGTCTGCCTCCAGGCATTTTAAGGCTGTTCCTGACAGTCTAGATTACTCACCTGCAACCCCTCCCGCTGCCCCACCTCCTCCAGTCTCCGTGTTAACAGCTGAATGGTGATGCAGTTCTTCTCATTCTGGGCCTGGTGGATAGAGGCCTCTTCTCCAAGCTGAAGGACCTTGTGATTGAGCTGGGACACTTCATCCTTGCATTTCTGACTCTGGAGCAAAATGGATTAAAATACAGATGACAAAGTTATTTTTTTTAAACCAGCAGCTCAATTCAGATCATTCTAGTGGCTTTGGCCAGGGACGATTTTGTTCCTTGAGGAACATGGGGCAATGTTTGGAGACAAGGCTCGTTATCACAGCGGGGAGGGGATGGCTACTGGCATCTCATGGGGGAGGTGCTCAGCGTCCTCCAGGGCAGGACTGATACGGCCCCGACGGCCACAGTGCCACAGAGGAGAAAGCCTGCTCCACTCCCTGGAGGAGGAGACACATCTGGACCATCAGAGGCGGTCACATCAGGAACATACAAACCACTGCTCTGAAAACCTTCCGTGTTGTTTTCATTTCTTTCATGGTTATTTCCAATTATTACTTTAAGCAATTTGAAGGAAAACACCCAATTAAACTTGAAGTATATGAAGCTCCTTGAAGTCTCCTCTGGTCTTTGTAATTAAACATACAGACATAGCTTTCAGCAGGACGAGGCGGTGATTAAACTGTGTGTTCTGCTTTTTCTCAGTACCCACTGGCCAGCAGGCGGTGCATGCTCAACAGATGCCCGCGGTGGGGGAGGGGGGGGCAAGCGAAGGCGCCATGAGCTGAAACAGCAACGAGAACGCTGCCCCTACCGTCTCTCACCGTGCAAATGCCAGATACGTTCAACTGTCATGCACATCTTCATAGACACCACACTGTTGCTTGTTTGCTTTTCCCCACAGCCGCCCATCCATTCTCAAGGCCAAGCACCAGCAGCCCCAGGTGTCTGCAGAGTGGCATCCTCCGAATGGCTTCCCAGCGCCACTCTCGATGCACGCCCACCACTCCCCCGGGGCTGCGCTAACAACCACTGTGTTATTACGTTTCTGAGGACTTGAGAAGCAGATGATGGAACCCTGAAGTTGTTTCAACTTGGATTATTCATGCTTAGAGAGTCTACATGTTTTTCTCGTGATCACTGCTCCTTCTCTTCTCTGTAAAGAGACTGCCCCCTCGTCCTGTCCTTAAAATCTCAGAACTGAGGGTAGAGGTGTTTTCCAAACAACAGAAACTCATGGCCATTATGTCTGGTATGGAACTCTCGTGTTTATTACGTTTCATTGTGAAAATTAAAATTGTTTTTCAGTATCGATACACACTCATCTTGTTCTCTGAGAACAGCCTTGATTTTATGAACAGCCAGAAATGGAATCTTCATTCAGTTAATTTTCTTCTGTTTACCTTTAATATTTAGTCTTTGTTTGGAAATAATTTCAAACCTTTACAACACGGGCAAGGCTACTACAAAGAACACCTATGCACCCTTCACCCAGGCTCATTGGCTGGCAGCATCCCCGTGTGCTTCGTGGCAGATGCTTTCTGCAGGTACATGCATGCACGCGTGTACACACAACACACACACACACACACACACACGAGGCCCTGCACTGTGTGTTTCCTAAGGAGGTGCATGTGTTCTCATATACTGTCATGCAGGTCTGGCTTCAGGACATGAATCACACCACCTACATCTCAGTTTTGTCAACTGGCCCATTATGCCCCTTCCTCCCCTCAGGCAGTGCCTTTACCAGGCAGGCCGTTTTAGCTTCCTTGAATTTGGGATATTTCTGTGGCCTTTGTCTTGTGTGACACCGAAAATTTTGACAGATACAGTCCCTCCCTGCCTCTCCCCTTTAACACTTCCTCACTTGGGGCCTGCTGGATGCTCCCTGTGATGAGGCTCAGGTGTGTGCCCCGCAGGGCACCCTACTGGGAGCATGGGCACCCTCTGTCTCTCCATGTCTGTGTCCATCACCTCCTTAATTCTAACTTACACTCATCTGGGTTTTATTGCAGAAGACAAAACAAGATGCTAGCAGTCATCTCCTGGTCACATTTTAAAACGAATGGATGTCTGTGCTACACAGGCTTACTGTGAATCTGATTAGGCCTTTAGGCCTAGTTTCTAATTTATAGGAAGTATAAGGAACAGAGGAGCAGACTGAACGACACTATCAGATTCAGAATGTGGGATGGCCAAAGGTCTCTTCAAAGAAACAGCCTTGTGGGGGTGAATCAGGTGTTCCAGGTTAAAAAGGCTAAACACATAGAGGCAGGCTGACCATATTTTCCATACATGGCCTCAATGGCCTCTCCCGCCCCACATCCCCTTCTGCAGTGGACACTCCCCACCCAGAGGAGCCTGTGTCCCTCCCTGTGCTTTGCGGGGGTCTGGGTGAGGATGATGTGGAGTATTTCTGAGGTCAGAAGCCTTGTGCCTGCCATGTGGTCCTCCTGGTGCCCCCTTGTGACACTCCCTAAAGGAGCCGAGCCCCACAGAGAGGAGCCGCATGTGATTCCAGCCCTGGCCTCTGGGTCACCCCAGCTGTCCGGTCTTCCCAGCCCCCATGATGGGAGCAGAGGTGGGGGGGGCCATCTGTCCCGTGCCCCATCTGAAGCCCTGACCCACAGGTTCTGCGAGTGCAATCAAGGGGCTTTTCTCTGCCACGAGAACAGCATTGACAGGTCAATGCATCACCCTCAACTGTATCCTAGTTCCAAAAAATTTACCATAGAAGACATTTTTGAATAATTAGAGAAATGTAAATATGGTCGGAATATTGGATAGTGTTAGATGATTACGACTAGGTTTCTCAGGTGTTACAGTAGGACTGTGGTTAGGCAGAAGTTGCCTGTGAACTATTTAGAAGCAGAGTCTCACGGTATCTGACACTTACTTTCAGATGGCTTGAAAAAACATACACACATACACACAGTACAGAAAGATACAAAGACCCGTACAAACAAAAACTAAAGTACGTATGGTACTTTATGGTATTGTTAACAATACTGTCAAATTAAGACTGTAATATGGGGCTGATCAGTGCATATTATGTCAATTTTTCTGTGTGTTTAAAGCTTTTTATACTAAAAAGCGGAGGGAAAGAAAATAAATGGATACCTAGAATCCATTTACAAGTGTGTCCTAGAAATAAGCCTGAAAGGGGACGGGAGGCCCAGGAAAGCCCTAGATGGGTCATTTCACAGGAAGTTGGTCTGCAGGCAAATGCAGTCTGAACTTTTCATCCTAAATCAACCCAGCAATTGCCCTCTTTTTTAAGGATTTATTTATTTATTTGACGGAGACACAGAGAGAGAGGGAACACAGCAAGGGGAGTGGGAGAGGGAGAAACAGGCTTCTCGTCGAGCAGGGAGCCCAATGCGGGGCTCGATCCTGGGACCCTGGGATCATGACCTGAGCCGAAGGCAGACGCCCAACGACTGAGCCACCCAGGTGCCCAGCAACTGCCCTCCTGATGGAGAAGGCCTAAGCAAGGCCACCACACACTCACCATGGACACAAACACTCAGAGCTGGGAGCCCAGACAAGCCACCCGCTCACCAGTGGTCTGAGGCAGTTCCCACGGCGGAGCCACTCAGTGGCCCCGTGTGGGCAGAGGCAGCACTGGGAGAGAAGAGCTGTGGGACTGACCTCAGGGACAGCACAGGTTTGAGAAGCCAGGCGTGGCAACTCCTCCCCTCCCCTGCCCCAAGAACTAATGAGTGAGTTCAGCAAGGTGGGGGGACTGACAGATGAAAACCCATTTTATTTCTGTGTCCTAATAGTGAACATACAGAAACCCAAATTAAAAACGTAATACTAGTTCTGGTCTCTGGTCTGACATGTAAAAAGTTCCATCCCCCCAATAAGAAAAAGGCTGGATAAACTGAAATCAACAACTCCTCTTCGAAACTTTAGAGAATTGTGGTCAAAGGGCAAGCCAACACCCTGAAAACTGGAGAGACAGGCAAAGGATTCAGAGCTTACCAGGAGCAGAGGTTGGAGCCTGAAACTGGAAGGGAAATGGGCACCATAAGAACGAACACTGGAGGCTGCGTCTGGCTGGCTTGAGAGTTAACATGGTCTCAGAGGAGCCCCCAACTTTCCTGAGACATACCAGGTTCTTGCCCTTAACATCAGAGAAAATCCCCTCAGGCTTCTAGCAAGTGGGGGTAAAGTAATTGCTATGAACTGAACTGTGTCCCCTCCAGATTCCTGTGCTGAAGCCCTCAACCTGCAATGTGACTGTATTTGGAGATAAGGCTTTTAGGAGGTAATTAAGGTAAAATGAGCTTATATGGGTAGGGTGCTAATCTGAAAGGACTATGATCTTTTAAGAAGTAGAGCACCATCTCTCCCTCTGTGTGGCCCTGTGGAAGAAGGGCCGTGTGAGGACCCAGTTAGAAGGCAGTTGTCTGCAAGTCAGGAAGAGGGCTCTCACTAGGAACCAAGGCAGCCAATCCCTCATCCTGGACTCTGGCCTCCAGAACTACAAGACAATGAATTTCTGTGAAGTCTCTCAGCTTACTGCACTTTGTTACAGCAGCTGAAGCCGCTCTGAAGGACACTCAGAGCATTCTGTTCCCCTCCTGCCCTTAAGAGAAATTACTATACTGGAGCTTAACCAACCCCAACCCCTCCAGCCTTTCTGTCTTAGCACATACCATGGGTCAGAGTGGCTAAAGTAAGAGTGACAACACCAAATGCTGGCAAGGATGTGAGGAAACTGGATCAAGCATAGATCACTGGTGGGAATGTAAACTATTACAGCCACTCTGGATACCAGTCAGGCAGTTTCTTACAAAACTAAACATGTAACTACCATACAACTCAGTATTTGCACCCTTGGGCATTTATCCTAGTGAAATGAAAACTTATGTTCATTAAAAAAACAAAACAAAACAAAAACCTGCATAGGAATGTTCAGAGCAGCTTTATTTGTGACAGGCCAAAACTGGAATCAGCCCAGTCGTCCCTTAAAAGGTGAGTGTTAAAACAAACTGTGGGACGTCATCACACAGAACAACATTCAGTAATAAAAAGAAGCTAACTACTGTTCAGGCAATGCTTAGATGAATCTCCAGGAAGTATGATATGTGAGAAAAGTCAGTCCCAAAGGGTACACTCCCTATGAATTCTTTAATATAACATTTGAAATGACAGTTTTAGAAA